AAGTTGTATCTAGCTGGGGGGGACAGACTGAAGAAATCCTTCAAGCGCTGGCACAGGGAAAAATAAATTGCTGTAGAAGTTCAAAGAAGGGCATTGAAGAATGAGTAGGACACTGTCTAAAGAAGTGGAAAAGACTAGACAGTGATGTTATAGAAGAACGAAGTCTAGGGATTGGACACAGGTAAATAAGGCAGAGAAGGAAATGAGCAGGACTCAAAAGGTGAAATGTATGGAGAAAACGGATTGATACTAACTGGCACTCACACGAATATGAAAATGGTCTATTCATCAGCCTCACCAGATACAACCATTCATTAAGAATAGTCAAGGCTCAGGAAAAAAAGATGTTCGGAAAGTAAAATCAAAGTAGAAAACGAGCAGCAAGGAAAATGTGTTCAGTTCACTCCACTGCTCGTGTCTGGCGGTGCTTCCTCTCGGGTTAAATCAGAACAAGGAATCTACCTGCAGGCTTTTCTCATCGCACCAGATCACTTCCTTTGGAGCAAGGACCACACTTAACACCATCGCTTTACCCTTCACGACAGCACCTCGAACATAATTACATGAAGCGGAATCCATCCGCTTCCCCATCTCCTGCGTCCTTCACCGAACACTGCGGACGCCGTCGGCCCGGCACAGACCTCCACCGCCTCTCCGCACACCTGTGCCCAGGGGCCCGGCCCGGCGCCCCGCAGCCACCCTCGCACCCCTTCCCTTCCTGCCTTTTCCAGAGCTGAGCACGCTCAATCCCTCGTCTAACTGGTGTCCCGTCCTCTGTTTTTCCAACCAGTTTTACCCTCGTACTCCAGGTTATTCCAGAATAACCTTCCTAAAATACTTATTTTACGCTCCTCCTTAGAACTGTAAAAATGATGTCTTACAAAAATCAACCGCCTAGAAATAAAGCCAAACTGCCTCGGCGCAGCATTCCCAGCGCCACTTTTTCTCCGGGCTGCCGCATATTCTTGGGACGCGCGTCCCACGGCCCCGATGCCCCGGCTCACAGGGCTCCCGCCCCCGCCACACTCCGCACCTCCCTCCAGCGTTTCCGCTTTCCCTCTGCTTCGCGCGGGGTTTCCGTCGAGCCCACCGGGCGCGAAGCCCCAGAGGGCAGGGCTCTGTCCCCCTCCGCGCCGGGCGGCTGCCGCACCCCCCGCGCAAACACCGCGGCGCCGCCCTGCTCCGAGCAGCTGAAATCCCCCTGAAGACGGCCTGACCCGCGCCCTCGGTCCAGTGCAGAAAGAAAAGAGCGAACACCGTCGGGCTTAATCGTCTGGACGGAGATGACGGGACACAGCCACCTCCTCAGGCGATCTCGGTCCTCCGAGCCCCGCGGCTCAGCGCCCCTCTGGGCAGAGGGCGCGGCCCGGGACCCGGACCAGCCCTTCCCACGCCCGAGGCTGGAAGGGGCGGCGGGCCCCCAGGCCCAGCACGCGCTCGGTCCGGCAGGTGCCGCCGCGGCCCCGCGCGCTCACCTTCGGGCCCCTCGGGAGGCAGACGCGCTCACCTCCCCGCGGAGCCGGGGCCCGCCCGGCCCGGCCCGGCCCGGCCCCGCCGCGGCCTCTTCCCACGGGATCCCCGAGGCGCGCGGCCAGCCTCCGGCCCTCACCCTGCGGGCGCTGAGGGGCTACGGGAGGGACGGCGCCGAGCCCCCCGGCCCCGCCCAAGACTCGCCGGAGGTCCCGCCCCTCCGCGGCCAGTAGGAAGTCCCGCCCCTGCCGTATTTCCCCATTGGCCGGCGACGGCAAGCGGGAGCGGCCGCGGGCGCCCCAAGCGGGGACGACACCCCACGCGGAGAAGGGGCGGAGCTGGGTGGGGCGAGGCGGACACTTCCGCCGCTGGCGCCGGAAGCGTCGCGCTGCTGCCGCTGGGAGTTGTAGTCCGGCCGCGGTAGGGACCCGCGGCTCATGCGCGGTGCACCGCGGCTTGTTTCACATCTGTAACAACAGGTGAACTGGGCCTTTTATTCTCCCCTTTCGCGCCTGCGAGGAGCCGCGGCCGGGGGCGGTCGGCGCGAGCAGGGGCTCGGGTCCGGCCGGGGCCCGACGTAAGGGGAGGAGAGGCGGGCGGGCCAGAGGCGCAGGCCGGGCATCCTGGGCCTGCCGGGACGCCTGCCGCGCCGCGCTGGGGCTGCCAGGCCTCGGTCTCTCGTTGCCATGGAGCCGGGGCGGGGCGGGAGCCCGGCCGGCCGCGGGCCGCGGGCGAGGCCGCTTTCTGGCGCGCAGCCGCCGCCGGGGATGCTCGGTTCCCGTGGCCGAGCCTGAGCAAGCTCTGGGGCGCCCTGGGACCTTTGTCTGCCCCCGAGCGCCGGGACCGTGCCTCCAACGGGAGGCCTGGTGCATTCTGGCCCCGCTGGGTTTGCTTGCTTTGGCACCGATCTTGTCACTGGGGGACGCCAAGGGTCGAGGTGTTCTTTGTTTGCTGGTGGTAACTTGCCCCATTTGGCAGGGGAACACCTACAGCATGTTGGGTCCTTTGTTTGCAGTGAACTGGAGTCCCAGGGGTCCTCAGAACCCCCAAGCCAGGAGCATGGCGTCCGCATGCATGCTGTCTGGCTAGTCCTCATGTTGCAGTATTGGCCATCTTATACCTGATTTTTCAAGGCAGAGGCGGTCCACTCTGCAAATCCAGTCCACAGGGGCCTGCCATACACTGCAGCAGGAGAACTGCCGATGGCCAGTTGCAGACTCTCAAACTGGTTTGGTCTGCAATGTAACTGGCCAGAGCGAAATGGGACATTGTGTGATGGTTTCCCTTGCAGTTTCTTTGAAACCAGTGATGCCGCTGTCCTTGTGGATCCTGACTATATCTTATAGTTTATACTTAAATCTTGGAAATTAGGAATTCCCAGGAGGGAGGACTCCTTTGCAGCGTTTGGGATTTATGATAGGGCCCCTCATCCGTGTAGCTGCTCCAGACGTAGGAAATGCATCCTTTGCTGCACCTTTACCTGTGTAGGTGGTCCATTTACCTCCAAAAGACATTTGTTCTCCAAGTGTTTTAACTTATGTAGCCAGGGTCCAAAGTTTATCAGTCGGAAGCTTCTTACACCTTTCAGCCTTTGAAGATGTCATTATAAAATGTTACTTCCAAAAATGAACCGTGGGACATCCAGACAGCAGTATAGTACGGAAACAAGTTGTGTAGTATAAGCACGGAGCCCAACACCTAGCTTCAGGTTTCCGTTCTGCAAGTTGTGTAACCTGCTCTGGGAAAATCTGCCTTAGTTTCCGTCTCTGGGGAAGATAATTCCTACCTAACTGGGTGGTTGAATAGATGGAGATGAAGTCTGTGGAAGTACTTTGTAAACTATGAAAATGGTGTTCAGCTTTCAGTTATTATTTTCCCAATCTGGAAGCAGTTCCTTATCTTCCTTAAATAGGTTCATATTCTCGTCATTATGGAATTAGAACTCAAACCTGAAGCAGCTTTTGCTCTGGGCTTGGAGAAGATGCTTCCAGGACTACAAGCCCCTCCTTATCATGACATCCCTCCTGGATCTGACCAGTGCTGATTAAGGCAGCTCGCAGTTCGGCGGGTCTCGCAGAGGGGGGGCTATGGCAGGTTCCGATGTGAGGCCAGTGCGCCCAGTGTGTGTATTTCACGCCACTAACAGAATTGTCCCGGTTGTTGGAGTTCGTGAATGCATTCCGATGCTCGGGAGCGACTTTCCCCGTGGGGGCCATCACTTTAGTGACCCAGCACTGTACTTCCCAGGAGGAGGCCCAGTCTCGTGATGAGGAGGAGCAAGGAGAGAATACAGCTCCAGCTCAAAAGCCTGCACGATCTGGGGGTGTCACTGCTCTTGTAAGGTAAGCTGACTCAGCTGCACTCCCGGAGCAGTGGTGGGCCTCATGCACAGCCACGCTGTAGAGCAAAGGAATGTATTGAATCTATCTGTGACTTTCTTGGGAGAAAGGTATCATTTTTATTTAGTCATTATGGAATCTCTGTGCCCTTGAATCATCCCATAGTGACTCTGCTGGGAGTTAAGTGGTGTTTCGTGATGAAAGAAGTCTTGACATAACAGTGTTTTATTTATGTCTAAATTATTTAAGAGGAACTCTGAACCACAAAGGTTTCCAACGTAATTCTGTATTGCAGGGAGTGCAGCTTTCTTTTGGATCTCTATGAAATGCTCTAGAGCTCTGTGAAACATCTCTGAAAGACCCTGTCTTGACTATCGCACTGTGTTTTCTAGACTCACACAGGGAAAGAGCACACTGTGTGAGCCTTGGCCGGCATGGGGAGGGTGGGGACTCCTTACAAGCAAAACCGAGAGTCTATTTACAAGCAAATTAACTTAAAATTTCTTAGCAAGAAAGTATCATTTCTTAAGTAATAGTCACTTAGATGTTTTAGATTTTATAATATTCAATTTTTCTTGAAAATTAGAATTTCAAATTACACCCTTTTTCTTTTAATTTGGATAGAAGAAGTCTATAGAATGTAACTTCTTAAAGTGAACTGTATCATTATTGATTTGTATTGAAGTTTTCTCTCTGAGCTACCATATCCTACCGGCTGAAATTTCCGGCATCCCTCGGGGAGAGGAGGCCATCAGGGCAGACCTGCTATGGACCTGAGAGATTCGGCCCCAGGTCAGCCCTCCAACCGCCGCCCCCCATGATTTGAGAACGACAGGCAGTAGCCGTCAGGACCAGGAGGCTAGGCCCCATTAGGCTCCTAGTAATGTGAGACATTATCCTAATTTGCTAAAACATTGTGTAGATGTTTTTAAACTTAGGCCACGTAAGGTTATTGCACCAACCCAGAAGTACTACATTATTAAAGCCCTTTGTAAGTCTGAGTTTTTAAAGTTTATGAGTGTTTTATAAAACGAAATTATTAAACCAGAGGTGTTACTTATTTGTGTGTACCTTCTCTTATAAGTCTCCAACTACATCCCTCAGCTGAGTATACTGATGAGCAAAATGCGCCAAAATTTTTATCCAGCAGTTGTATTTTAACTTACTATTTGTTCCTTCATAGAGACTCCGCCATGAAAAGCTTTTTATTTTGACTCACTTTGCAGTTTCTCTTTGATAATGTCGTTCAAGTCCAATCCCTAGGGGCCTGACTAGGTTTTGTGGAAGCTGGGTGAGCCAGTTTGTCCGTGGGCAGACATCAGTCCCTCTTCCTGGAGCCACAGAAGCCAGGGGCCCATGTAGAATTTCATTTCTTTCTAGAAGTCCCAGGAAAACTGCATTGTGATGAGTGGACATATATGTCGCTCATGATGAAATGCAGCTCCTTCGGTTTAGCAGGATTCAGGGAGCTGAGGACAGAGAAAACAAGCTCTCAGTTAGAAAAGAGCAAAGATGTGGAATTACTTTAGAGTCGGGATGGCTCCTCATCCCTGAGGCTGGGGCAGCTACTAGGACTCGTTAGTGAAGCACTTCATTTTTCTTGTCTTCTGGACATGCTGTATGTTAGTGAAGTCTGCACTGTGGGCTCTTGGACCAGGAATATTAACCATTGCCTCTCGGACCTTCTTAGGAGTCCAGCTTTCCGTCCTGGCCAGAAATGTTCAGCTTGGACTCATTCAGAAAAGGTAAGAACATAACGGTGCCTGTGGCTGCCTATGATGGGCAACTGTGAGGCTGTGGATACCCCACAGAGCCCTTCTTTGGGTGACTCCACAGTCCTTCCCCAGCCTTCCGATTGCCTTGTGCTTATAACCTGTGTCACCCGTCCAGGTCCTCGTGTACCCTGCTGCCCCTTCCTGGAGTGTCCTCTCACTGCTCTGACAGCCTCCCTCTAAGCCAGGGCTTTGCACCATTCTCTCCACGAACCAGGCATGATCTGCCTGCCCTGACTCTCCTCGGCGTCGCGTCTGTGCTTCCGCGGGCTCGCTCTGTTCTGAACCAGTCCTTGCATCGGTGGCCAGAAGCTCCCTGCGGCCAGGGCCCATGCTGGTTTTCTCTCCCCTGGTGCCAGGCACAGCACTTTGGACAGGGTAGGCCTCCGTGAACACCCGAGGAAGGACACTGAGTCGTGGTTGTGTTGGTGGCCATAGAAGCTGGGGCAAGTCTTGAAATCGATGCCCTAGGCAGCTGCGGTGAGAGGTGGTATAGGGAAAGGCGGGACTTAGCCATGGCAGGGCGGGGGGTGGCCTCTGGGGTCTGCTCCCAGGAAGTGGCACAGCCGGTGGGGAGGGCTCTCTGTTCTTGGATGGAGCCCTCTAAGACAGGAGAGAGTAAAAGGCCTGCCGCCTGTACTGACACAGGACCATGAGGGTCCTGCCTGAGCATATTGTGCCAGTGAGTGAGAACTTGGCTGGCCTTCCATCACTGCTGACCAGCAAGGTTCTCCTGGTTGTGTCTCCCCCACAACCCATGTTCCTGGAGGCCTGAGTGTAACCCCCCGAGGGGGACCAGGAGGACTGGATGCGCCGGGGTTCAGAGCAGCCTCTTCCTGCCTCCTTGTTTACCTTTAGCCACTCTCTTGTTTTCATACTGCATAAAAAAAATAATCTCTGTCATTTTGGTTTCATTGATTAACTGCATCTGAGAAGGGAAACACTGAACTTGACATTAATGTAGGATAGCACATTTTGAGCTGAAAATTAAGTACACTTAATTACTTTGGGTTTACCTTCCAGTCAGTGGGCTTTCTTGTCCACCCACTTGTAGAAGTTGGATGGAAATAGGTTTTCTCGTGGTGGGCAGGTCTCTGAACTGGCAGTGCCGATCCTGTAAGGAGAAGGGGAGCCCGATAAAACCACCGTCCTCCCCTTCCCATGTTGTTTGACTCTGATACGATAGGGAGATGATTCCAGGGAAGAGACTCATGGACAAAAAGCTTCTCCACTTGTGATTTTGCTTTCCAGGCTGGGGGCCGACTTGCGGGAGAGCCTCCCGTCAGGACGCGGGTAACACTCAGCCTCCTGGGGGGCAGCATAGCCTCACCTGCAAGAGCTCCGGACCCCCATGCCAGGCTCCCAGCGCTCTCCTGCCTCCTCCTGGCCAGGGAGGCCGGAGCGGAGCTGAACCTCTGGGCCCCCGTCTCCTCACGATTTAAGTAGCTGCCTCAGCATAGTTTCCAAGGACTAGACGAGTCAATACACGCAGAGAGCTGAGGACAGGACCTGACACCTGGTGGATTCAGTCCGTGGCTTTAAGTCGCTTCAGGGCGTCGTAAGACGCAGTCTGGCTTTGGGCCTAGACGCTCCAGCACAGAAGTTTTATTTTCTTACCAACAACTATTTTATGCCTTCTGGTCTCAGGGAAAACCGTTACTCAGTCACCACCTTGAATGTCTTCCCTCAGGGAGCCTGTTCTCTCGTGGTTCGTGGTTCCCTGCCTGCAGGCTGAATGTCGTCCTGTCTCTCGTGTTTTGTTACATGACCTTGGCAGTCGGTCATGTGTGGCCTTGTGACACTTCCACTGTTGTACAGAACTGTTCTTTATCTCTTACGGAGTTTTTGTGTGTGTCTGTTTCTCATGATGAGGTCATGAGCCCCCTGGGGTGTCGTGAATCTTGAGGAATGCAGTGTGGTGTAAAGCTTGAGTTAGACTGGCTGGGGTTGGCTTCTGGTCCCCACTAACACCAGGTGTTAACTTACCTGATCCTACTTCCCGTCCCTATCCTCAGGGGCACAGGGAAGATTGGCGGTGATGTAGGAGAAGCACACGGCTGTGGTCTGTCCCCGGCCCTTCATCTGGGGTCAGCAGGCCCTTGATAAATGTGAGCAGACTGACCTGTTTGGGGTACAGCCCTGTAGCCCATGTGTTGCTGGAGAGTGACAGCCCGGCCTCAGCATGCCGTGTGCCACGCGGCTGCCGGACTGTACAAGGCAGCAGGTCGAGACAGCTCTGTTTAAAGACACCTTCTGGTGCTCAGGTCTCAGGGAGATGGGCCACTTGATGGTCCTCAAGTTAGTGACCGTGACGGTTTCCTGTGACATGCAGGTGGCAGCCCGCTGGGTGTGCCCACAGCCTTACTTCCTAGCGTGTAATTCAACAGCTCCCAACACCTCCCGGCCAGAATGCTTGTGTGCCTGGTGCGTGACCTGCTCCTGCCTTTGTGAGCATCTTAGCAGTTTTCTTGTGTCTTAGCTGTAGTGCCATCAGAGTGAGGCCACAGAGAGCAAACTGAGTCTTTTACAGTCAGCACAAAACTCTGAAAACTGGGTAAATGGCAAGAATGTGCAATTTTCCTCCAACTCCATGGTCAGAAGAGGCTCAGTGATGTTGTGGGATCGTAACAGTTTTCCACCAGTTGCTGAAAATCCTTAGCAAAACAACAAGTAATCATCAGGTGGTTCATTCTTTTTTTTCAGTCAGCCTTCCTGGATATGAATGAGGACCCTCCACAGGCAGAACCCAGAGGCTGAGCTAGTCATCTCCACCCTTAGCTTCAAGGTAGAAGTGGAATTAGTTCCCAGAAAAACCTCGATCCCAGGCTCTTTGCCCTACAGGCGTTTCTGCTGTAACGCTATACATGTTCTTTGCAAAATCATTCCTGTGATGTCATAGGAGGGCTTGTGGGGAAAAGACACAGCACAGCTCCCCCTCTGTGGCCCACGCCTGGGAGCGAGGGGCCTGTGCCGGGGCGCGGCTGCAGCCGCCCGGCCGAGCCCTGGGTAGAGGGGCCGCACGCGGGCCTGCGGCGGGGAACCAAAGGGAGGCGGGCCTGCGTGCAAATGCTCGCTCCCTCCAGCATTTTATTACGAACATTCAAGAAATACGGAGACATTGAAACTGTGCAGCCAACACCCCTGTATCTTCCACCTTGGTTCCCTACAGACACTCAGTGTAATTTTTTTTTAAATGTGGCTGAAAGACTTTTCCTTTTCCTGCTGAAAACTACAGTTCTCCTGTTACCACAGTTCCCTTGCCTTAGAAAAGTCAGGGTGACCCAAAGGTTCTTCTCTTTCCCTGATGTCATTCCCCTATTTACCAGGTGCATATGCGCTGATGGGCAGCCCAGAATCGGACTTGGCTGTGGCCCGCGGGCCGCTCCTCAAGCATGTGGGGTGTGTGACCCTCTCCCGCCCTCCGTTCCTCCCAGTCTGTCACACTGAAACCGGGAGGGTGACAGGCACGGGAGCTCGTGTGCCTCCACCCCAGACCCGCGGTTCTCCAGCGCTTTCCCCATCTGGGTGGCCTTAAAGACCTTAAGCCTTCCTTACCCAGCTGTTTCCATCTTCCCATCAAAGGCCCAGGAAGTGCCTTAATTTTAGTTGGTGTACATTGAATTTTTGGAATGTCCTAAAGATGTACTCTGTAGGTCTCTGTGTTTAGTCTCCAAATGGAATGATGAATAATTCCCTTTCAGAAAGAGGGAGAAGGCTGGTGCGTGGCCCGGCCCCGGCCGTCAGGGAGGCCCTAGCGCCCAGACCTTGCTCCCCTCACTCTCAAGAGGGAAGGAGTGGTCCGACGGCTCTGGCTGTCCGGGCCACGTAGGGGACCTGAGCAGAGGGCAGTTACCGTAGTGGGAGGCAGGTGTGTGGGAAACCCCGGGGCTTTACATGGTTCTGTCACTTTCCAGCCTCCAACTGCTGTCCTGTTTCATCCTCACAACTCAAGACTGGAGGGAAGTACACGGGGTGGGCGCCCATGGAGGGCGGCAAGGGGAACAGGAGGTTTGTAGGCTCTTTTGAGACGCAGGAAGGGATCTATGCAGGGCCCTCCTGCGTCCCGTCTATATAGCTGCCCCCTTGATGGTGGCGTTGGTGACGCTGTCTCGCAGAACCCATGACTGTGCCAGCAGCTGCTCTCCAGGACTGCTCGCGGATGCTCTGGGTGCGTCCATGCAGGCCTATAACTGGGGGTGAGACTTGCCTGATGCCCTCTCTCTCTCCCCAGATCGGGCCCAGCACAGGCAGCGCCAGTGCAAACTTCCCCCACCCCGCCTTCCACCCATGTGTGTCAGCCCTGCCCCTGGAGGGACCATCTCTCGAGGTAAGGGAGGAGGCTTGCCTCCAGCACCAGCCTGGCCCGGGTCCGGGAGGCGGGCGGCGCTGGGCACCCAGGTGCCTGGACATGAGTGAGAAGCGGAGTTAGCATGGATGTTGACACCTCCAGGGAGTGGTCACTTGGAAAAGTCAGGTCATCTCCTGGTCCTCAAGCACAAGGCTCAGACGCTGCGCTCCCACCAGGCCTCCTCGTAGACCAGGATAAGCCCCAGGCTCCGTCTGGGCATGCGGCCCCAGCACGGAGAGAATCGGGGCTTCGATCTCCGGGGCAGGCCCTGGCTTGGGGGGCTCAGAACTCGCAGGTTGCTTGGCCAGTGCACAACGGAGGCTTAAGGGAGGCCTGCAAATCACTCCCCCAGAGCGCTTGACTGACACCAAAACCGTGTCCCGGGTGGCATCCCTTCCCTCAGACAGATCCTCCCAAGGCCCACAGAGACCAGGGCTCCTGGGAGCTTTGTCCTTGTCCCGACAGCCGCTCTTTCCTCTTGGCTGCCTGCTCACACGCTGGCCCCGGCGGCCTCGCGGAAGAAGGCTGCTGTAGGCCGGGGAGTCTGCAGGCAGCCTGTCCACTGAGGCTCCGTCGGCGGACAGCTGTGAGGGTGCAGCACCCAGGAGGGTGCAGGGCACACAGGGCCCCTCAGTCCCTGCGGTGGGCCGCTCGGGCAGCCTTCCTGCTGCAGTGGCCCTGGGACACAGCAGGACAGAAATGAGCACTTCCTCCCCTCTGGCCCTTCCACTTAGGTGCTCAAGAAATGCTGCCCCTACCAATGCCAAAACAAGCGTTGATTGTCCTTTTTTCCTTTCTTAAAATGCCCTGTAACTCAAAAGGCCAAATGCTAACATTTCCAACACAGCGGGTGAGTAGTGCTGAGTGTCAGCCATGCTTCGGCCAAGCTCAGAGACGGGTACAGGGGTCGACCAGCATGACCATGTGGTGCCGCCCTGAGCCCCGGCAGAGGGGGAGCAGCCACTCCCCGCAGGCCAGCCCAGCAGGTCCCTCGTGGTTTCCTCTGATGAGAACAGAGCCCCGAACCTGAGTGTCCTCACAGCTGTGCCTGCAGGAGGTGTCCTTGGGGGACGGCGTGCCCTCTCTCCCTCTCCCTGACTCCCGCTCTCGCCCCCCCCTCCTGTCTCTCTGCCTGCCCCCACCCCACCCCCCACCATTTTTTTCTAAGGCCTGGAATCCCTTCTTCACAGAAGCAACAGGCCACACGTAAGCTGCGCTCTCCGCTGTGCTTTCTGGTCCCTAGAGGCTTCGCTGTTGCGTCTGCCCTCAAGGAGGACATGCGTGGCAGAAACAGTGTCTCTGGTTTTCAAATAGAAAAACAGTGCTCAGGAAATGGCAGCCACCCGAATAGGGTCACAGTGCCCATCAGAGTCAGATCTGGGATAGGAGAGAACAATCACCTCTCTTCCCAGCCTACCCCACTCTACTCCCAGCCTCTTACCAAGGCCCCTTCCAAGGTAAAGGGGGAATGAATCAGGAAACCTGCCTCCAGGCCAGCCCAGGGACTCTGCCCCAGTGCCCCGTCTGAGGCGTAGGACAGTAGGAAGCAGTGCGGGGAGACATGCCTCTGGCAGGGCACTGGGGGCCACAGGACTGGCCTCCCCTCCCCGTCCCCCTGGACAGCGGTGGGCCCTCTTGGTGTGGGGGTCACCGCAAGGGGATCGTGGCCTTGCGTATGTGCAGGGAGAGCGTGAGGACGGGTAGGGAGGCCAGAATGGTCGCCAGTTCCTTCGGCTCCCCTTACCTTCCCTGTGGCCAACCAGGCAGACCCTTTCTTGATGTGTGGACCCCCGTCACATACTTGGCCGTGGGTGAGGAAGCGGACGGAACGCTGGCTGACACCTGGCCGCTCCAGACGCTGCCTCTGACCTTCCCTCCAGAGTCCCCTGGTCTGCCCAGCCGGGACTGACTTGGCTTTTCTCCTATTGCTTTTTCCTGGGACCTCCAAAGTTCAGGATTCTAGAACATCTGCCTGTGTATTCAGCAGATCCTTGGCACCTTAACTCCATTCTGCTGGATGTCATTGTTTAGCACACTTAGTACCAGATGTCATGACTGATCCAGAAGGGAGGGGAGAGAGATCTGACCCAGTAAACTCGATTTTTTTCAGAACCTCCCTTCTTTTTCACAGGCATAGGAGTCACCTTTCTCTCCCCAAAGAATGGGGAGTGGAGGAGAAGGCTTGATGTTGGGGGAAAGGACAGCAGCGGGGCTGGAGAAACGTGCCCTCTTCAGGGTCTTCTAGGAGGAGCCTGCAAACGTCCTTGACAGTCAGCGAGTAAATAGGCTTTGCAGTTTGTGCGGTTCGTCTTGCTGGCACTTGACTCCGCCATTCCGGAGGGAGCTCAGTAATAGACAGTGCGTGCACAAGCGTGGCTCTGTCTCAGTGGCTGTTATTCATGAAAACAGGAAGTAGGCGTCCAGAATCGGACTTGGCTGTGGCCCGCGGGCCGCTCCTCAAGCATGTGGGGTGTGTGACCCTCTCCCGCCCTCCGTTCCTCCCAGTCTGTCACACTGAAACCGGGAGGGTGACAGGCACGGGAGCTCGTGTGCCTCCACCCCAGACCCGCGGTTCTCCAGCGCTTTCCCCATCTGGGTGGCCTTAAAGACCTTAAGCCTTCCTTACCCAGCTGTTTCCATCTTCCCATCAAAGGCCCAGGAAGTGCCTTAATTTTAGTTGGTGTACATTGAATTTTTGGAATGTCCTAAAGATGTACTCTGTAGGTCTCTGTGTTTAGTCTCCAAATGGAATGATGAATAATTCCCTTTCAGAAAGAGGGAGAAGGCTGGTGCGTGGCCCGGCCCCGGCCGTCAGGGAGGCCCTAGCGCCCAGACCTTGCTCCCCTCACTCTCAAGAGGGAAGGAGTGGTCCGACGGCTCTGGCTGTCCGGGCCACGTAGGGGACCTGAGCAGAGGGCAGTTACCGTAGTGGGAGGCAGGTGTGTGGGAAACCCCGGGGCTTTACATGGTTCTGTCACTTTCCAGCCTCCAACTGCTGTCCTGTTTCATCCTCACAACTCAAGACTGGAGGGAAGTACACGGGGTGGGCGCCCATGGAGGGCGGCAAGGGGAACAGGAGGTTTGTAGGCTCTTTTGAGACGCAGGAAGGGATCTATGCAGGGCCCTCCTGCGTCCCGTCTATATAGCTGCCCCCTTGATGGTGGCGTTGGTGACGCTGTCTCGCAGAACCCATGACTGTGCCAGCAGCTGCTCTCCAGGACTGCTCGCGGATGCTCTGGGTGCGTCCATGCAGGCCTATAACTGGGGGTGAGACTTGCCTGATGCCCTCTCTCTCTCCCCAGATCGGGCCCAGCACAGGCAGCGCCAGTGCAAACTTCCCCCACCCCGCCTTCCACCCATGTGTGTCAGCCCTGCCCCTGGAGGGACCATCTCTCGAGGTAAGGGAGGAGGCTTGCCTCCAGCACCAGCCTGGCCCGGGTCCGGGAGGCGGGCGGCGCTGGGCACCCAGGTGCCTGGACATGAGTGAGAAGCGGAGTTAGCATGGATGTTGACACCTCCAGGGAGTGGTCACTTGGAAAAGTCAGGTCATCTCCTGGTCCTCAAGCACAAGGCTCAGACGCTGCGCTCCCACCAGGCCTCCTCGTAGACCAGGATAAGCCCCAGGCTCCGTCTGGGCATGCGGCCCCAGCACGGAGAGAATCGGGGCTTCGATCTCCGGGGCAGGCCCTGGCTTGGGGGGCTCAGAACTCGCAGGTTGCTTGGCCAGTGCACAACGGAGGCTTAAGGGAGGCCTGCAAATCACTCCCCCAGAGCGCTTGACTGACACCAAAACCGTGTCCCGGGTGGCATCCCTTCCCTCAGACAGATCCTCCCAAGGCCCACAGAGACCAGGGCTCCTGGGAGCTTTGTCCTTGTCCCGACAGCCGCTCTTTCCTCTTGGCTGCCTGCTCACACGCTGGCCCCGGCGGCCTCGCGGAAGAAGGCTGCTGTAGGCCGGGGAGTCTGCAGGCAGCCTGTCCACTGAGGCTCCGTCGGCGGACAGCTGTGAGGGTGCAGCACCCAGGAGGGTGCAGGGCACACAGGGCCCCTCAGTCCCTGCGGTGGGCCGCTCGGGCAGCCTTCCTGCTGCAGTGGCCCTGGGACACAGCAGGACAGAAATGAGCACTTCCTCCCCTCTGGCCCTTCCACTTAGGTGCTCAAGAAATGCTGCCCCTACCAATGCCAAAACAAGCGTTGATTGTCCTTTTTTCCTTTCTTAAAATGCCCTGTAACTCAAAAGGCCAAATGCTAACATTTCCAACACAGCGGGTGAGTAGTGCTGAGTGTCAGCCATGCTTCGGCCAAGCTCAGAGACGGGTACAGGGGTCGACCAGCATGACCATGTGGTGCCGCCCTGAGCCCCGGCAGAGGGGGAGCAGCCACTCCCCGCAGGCCAGCCCAGCAGGTCCCTCGTGGTTTCCTCTGATGAGAACAGAGCCCCGAACCTGAGTGTCCTCACAGCTGTGCCTGCAGGAGGTGTCCTTGGGGGACGGCGTGCCCTCTCTCCCTCTCCCTGACTCCCGCTCTCGCCCCCCCCTCCTGTCTCTCTGCCTGCCCCCACCCCACCCCCCACCATTTTTTTCTAAGGCCTGGAATCCCTTCTTCACAGAAGCAACAGGCCACACGTAAGCTGCGCTCTCCGCTGTGCTTTCTGGTCCCTAGAGGCTTCGCTGTTGCGTCTGCCCTCAAGGAGGACATGCGTGGCAGAAACAGTGTCTCTGGTTTTCAAATAGAAAAACAGTGCTCAGGAAATGGCAGCCACCCGAATAGGGTCACAGTGCCCATCAGAGTCAGATCTGGGATAGGAGAGAACAATCACCTCTCTTCCCAGCCTACCCCACTCTACTCCCAGCCTCTTACCAAGGCCCCTTCCAAGGTAAAGGGGGAATGAATCAGGAAACCTGCCTCCAGGCCAGCCCAGGGACTCTGCCCCAGTGCCCCGTCTGAGGCGTAGGACAGTAGGAAGCAGTGCGGGGAGACATGCCTCTGGCAGGGCACTGGGGGCCACAGGACTGGCCTCCCCTCCCCGTCCCCCTGGACAGCGGTGGGCCCTCTTGGTGTGGGGGTCACCGCAAGGGGATCGTGGCCTTGCGTATGTGCAGGGAGAGCGTGAGGACGGGTAGGGAGGCCAGAATGGTCGCCAGTTCCTTCGGCTCCCCTTACCTTCCCTGTGGCCAACCAGGCAGACCCTTTCTTGATGTGTGGACCCCCGTCACATACTTGGCCGTGGGTGAGGAAGCGGACGGAACGCTGGCTGACACCTGGCCGCTCCAGACGCTGCCTCTGACCTTCCCTCCAGAGTCCCCTGGTCTGCCCAGCCGGGACTGACTTGGCTTTTCTCCTATTGCTTTTTCCTGGGACCTCCAAAGTTCAGGATTCTAGAACATCTGCCTGTGTATTCAGCAGATCCTTGGCACCTTAACTCCATTCTGCTGGATGTCATTGTTTAGCACACTTAGTACCAGATGTCATGACTGATCCAGAAGGGAGGGGAGAGAGATCTGACCCAGTAAACTCGATTTTTTTCAGAACCTCCCTTCTTTTTCACAGGCATAGGAGTCACCTTTCTCTCCCCAAAGAATGGGGAGTGGAGGAGAAGGCTTGATGTTGGGGGAAAGGACAGCAGCGGGGCTGGAGAAACGTGCCCTCTTCAGGGTCTTCTAGGAGGAGCCTGCAAACGTCCTTGACAGTCAGCGAGTAAATAGGCTTTGCAGTTTGTGCGGTTCGTCTTGCTGGCACTTGACTCCGCCATTCCGGAGGGAGCTCAGTAATAGACAGTGCGTGCACAAGCGTGGCTCTGTCTCAGTGGCTGTTATTCATGAAAACAGGAAGTAGGCGGATTTGGTCTGCAGGCTAGACCAGCGGGGGAGAAGGTCCCAGAGCCCTGGGGGCTGCAAGAGCTGGTCCAAGAGTTGCTCTCCCTTTACAAAAGGCAGTGAGGTTTGTGGAGGTGACGTATTTGCTCAACATGGTGTCAACTGTTAGAATTCGGATGAAGTAAATGACTAGAAAAGGGGACCAGGAGCTCCTTGAGAACCAACTAGTTGGTTGACATCACCGGATTTTTTTTTAAGATAAAATTTCAAACATCCGTTCAAAATACATTCTCTAAAATAGAAGTAGTAGTATGAAGCTTGAAGAATTGGCATCCCATGGCCAGCCTTCCTTCATGCGCTTCCTGTGGAAGTAGACCAGGAGACCCGAGGGCGCCAGCCTCAAGCTGACTGGCTGTCCAAGCAGAGCGCTACGCGGCGGGCGTCCCAGGCACCAGGCGGGCCCTGCTCCCCGGCTGGGTCTGTCCGTCCGAGCTGCTCTTCCACCTCTGACACAGTTCTCAGAGTCTGGCCTCAGCTGCGGCCGCCACTAGCAGGCTTGTAAGCTTCTGGGTTCTTTTGAGGGAATTTGAGCTGCTAACGGTCTTTGAAAAGCATTCCTGAAGCTGGACGGCATCTTGGCAAATTAAAGGGCCACTTGGCCAGATTCGAAGCCGTTGGAGAATCAGATCCCACTCTTGCTTTGACATCGCAGTTTGCATGGTCGGGGTGGGGGTATTTGATACAGATGGGGGTGTCACCTTGTGTGGTCAGCAAACCATTGCTGCCAAGGGTTTTTTTCCCCCTTTTGCCCCTTTCCTGGTAAAAAAAACCAATGAGGAGGTAGTGGAGGAGCAGGAGCCGGCGCTCTGCGTGGGTCTCTAAGGGGCCTGGCCTTTGTTGTCTCAGACTCTGATGGGGTGCCCCACAGGGCTGCCTTCCAAGCATTCCCGTTCCCCCTAACCGCAGCCGAACCAAATGAGTGCGCAGGTCTGTCCTAATTTTACCAGTTGACAAAATTGCCCAGGGTTCATAGCTGGCAAGGGGTAGAGCTGGAACCAGCCCCGTGACGAGCACTCAGACCCCGTGCTCTCGCCGTGGGCCAGTGGCGCCCAGAGCACGGTCCCAGGCCGGCAGGCCCCGTATCTCCTGGGAACACGGTAAGGACGCGGCTACTCGGCGCCACTCCAGACCATGACGAGCAAGTCTGGAGGCGGCTCCCGGCAGCGCTTTGACAGGTGCTCCGAGGGAACATCGGGGTCACAGCACTGCTGGCCTCCCACCCAGGCCCCTCCAGGGGCAGAGACGGTGGCGCCCTCGCTGCCCCCGTCAGTGCCCCCACGTGCAGTCAGCCCGATTCCCAGCCGACCCGAGTTCCTGCTCCTCTGCGCCATGAGAGGAGTGAGCCTGGCCCGAACCCAGGGGTAGGAGTTCGCAAACAGTACCGTCCGGCTTCTAAACAAGGAGCGGCAGCTTTCCACTCCCTGCCGTCCACGCAGAGTGGGGACGCGGCGTCCGAGCCGGGGACGTCCCACCTCTGACCCCAGCTCCGGGGACTGAAGCCGCTCCACTCCCGGTCGGGCCTTCCCGGGCCTCAGGCTCCTCGCCAGGTTTGCCCCGTTGTCCTGACGTGACCGGGAGGCCGCAGTGGCGGGCACGGGAGCGTCGGGGTCGCCTCCCCAAGGCCCGGGCCCCGCTGCGCGCTGGGGGAGGCGCGGGGTCCGCCCGCCGGCAGGGGGCGCGCTGGGCGGGGCGCGGGGGCCGCCCGCCGCCGCGGGGGCCGCCGGGAGCGCGATGGCGGCCGCCGGGAGGCTCATGGCGCTGGCCGTCGGCTTCTCTCCGCTCCTGCGGCTGCCAGGGCCCCGCGCCCCCGGGCGGCCGGGGCGCTCGCGCGGCCTCTCGTCTGGGTGCGCCCACCCCGACCGCGCCAAGGAGGCCGAGGCCGAGGCCCCCGAACGCGACGGGAGCGCGGTGGCCGGTGAGGGCGGCGGGCCCGCGGCGTAACGCTCGGTGCGGGCCGCGAGGGAGCGGGGGCCGGTCCACGTGCGGGAGGGGCCGCTGCCGGGGCGCGGGGGGCCCCGGGAGCTGTATCTTGCCGGCGGGACTCTCGGCTGCGGACAGGCCCTCGTGCCGAAGGAGACAGGGCCCAGAGGAGTCCGCCCGAGGGCGCTCCGCCGCGCAGCCGGGTTGCGTCGGATCCGCTAGGGGGTCTTTCCCAAGACAAAGCGGCCCTGGGGCGGCCGGGGGTCGGCAGTGCTGCGAGAGGCCCCCCAGGTGGCCTGTGACCGATGCGTCCAGGTGCACGTGTGCATGGCTGTGCCCCCTACAGAGTTGCTTTCTGGAGCCTGAGTGGAGGGTGGAAAGGCTTCCCCTCTTCTCCGACAGCCTCTGCCCCTGCACCCCTTGAAGGGCCGCCCTCCTCGGGGGCCCTTCTCTCAGTGCTCAGCCACTCCCAGCACGCTGCTGCTCGGCCTGGCCAAGCCCCGTCTCTGGCACAAGCTGCCTTTAGGTGGCCCTCTCCCCCATTTGTGATCTGGAATTGATGGAAAGAAAGTACAAGTCAGAAACATGAGGTGCTTGTGGTGTCTGACGTGTCTACCTCCACCGGACGCCAGCGAATTTGCAGGAGGGACGTAGCTCGTGCACGTGCGTCTCCTACAGATGCCTCTGGTCGGTGTCCGTACACACAATCTGGCGCCACGGGGCCTTCTGCAGGGTGCTGAGAGCTGGGGCCTGCTGTTCGTACTCTGGGCCAGGCCTCCCTTCTGTGTGTCTTCCATTTTAGGAGAAGCCTTGCACCGTCTTGAAATCCAGTCTGTGTGTGTGGTGAATTTTTACTTGCTTTTTTTGTTTAGCACCTTCTTTCCGACGGACTAGGCTGGTTTGCCGACATCAAGGCTTCTGTAACTGGTGTATTAGATCAGAAGCTTGGGTGGGGAAGAGGATGCTGGCAGGTTCCCCTCTGTGATGTGTTTGGTCATTGGCCTTTCATCTTCAGGGAATGGTCATGCAATGTAGGTCTGGCCCTGCTGCCCCGTTAGCCCCGAAGCCATTCCTCTCTCTTCCCAAGATGCTGCTCGTTGCTATTTCATCACAGCCAACATTCTCAGTATCCAGCACCCAGGGTCGACTACCCCAATACACACCCCATGGAGTTTTTAAAAGAAAAATAACTAATGTTTTTGTTATGTTCTTAGCTTCTAGGGACCTATTAAAAGAGTTCCCACAGCCCAAAAACCTTCTCAACAGTGTGATTGGAAGAGCCCTGGGCATCTCACACGCAAAAGACAAGCTAGTCTATGTGCACACGAATGGACCGAAGAAAAAGGTAACTGGCTGGTGGCTGGGAGACTTGTTCTGTCAGGAGGAAGGCTGGCTGTCCTTTCCTGCCTCAGGTTTCTCTGTTCAGGGAGGCTATGGAGCGTGTTTCTGAATTGAAAATACTCAGCAGAGACTGTCCGAGCAAAGCGTGGCTTGAAGAGCCTGGCTTAGAGAAAGGGAAGGCAGGGTGGGTGGGAAGCAGTTCACACCCCACGGAGGACGGGCCTTTCCACCGAGTGCCGGTTTCGGTCCCCAGCGGACTCCCCGGGACTGCAGAGGGTTGGAGTTGGTGGGAATTCCTGTTCCTAGAGTCTCATAGTCCTGGAGACCCACAGAAGGATGCAAGCAAACCCTCCTGAGTGATTTTTTATGGTAAAGACGGACCCCACCTTGCTCTCTGGCTAGAACGTGGCACTTTGAGGAAGCAGAACGACTTGAGGTGGGACAGATGGTTTTGCAGAGGGGGTGGTAGAGCCTCACCGGTCAGTGATGGTCCTGGGGCGCCGCCTGCACTCAGCTCTGCTGCCGCGAGGCCCACAGCTTTGCTGTTGACCCTCCATACGACTTGCAGCAACTTTGCAGCGCAGAGAGACAAGGGTCCTGATTCTTCCTTCTCTTCCCCAGAAAGTCACCCTCCATATAAAGTGGCCCAAGAGTGTGGAGGTGGAAGGCTATGGAAGCAAGAAGATCGACGCAGAGAGACAGGCCGCAGCCGCAGCCTGCCAGCTATTTAAGGTGATGCCAGCAAGAACGTGCAGGCCTCCCTCCCCGCCCCTGCTCTGATGGCCTCTCTGGTGCCAGGCCCATTTGGGGGTAGGCTGGCAGGGTGTCCGCTCACTCACGGTCCTGGGCCTTCTTGCGGTTCAGCCATCAAGGGCATTGGTATTTTATGGTTCGTTTTGTTTTGGCCGCTGTGGTTACCTGCTTCTGTGGTTTGGAAAACCACAGACAACCCTTCATGACAACATTCCCTATGCAGAGCAGCAGACACACTCCCGTTTTGGCATGCTTTTCTTTTCTGTTGTTTTCTATGGCTTTTCCTGTAGCCGTGTGGTCCTCCCTTCCAGTGGAAGTAGGATGATGGCCCCTCTCCCTTCCCACTGGTTGGGTGTCAGCTGCATTTACTAGACCTTCGTGTTGCTCACCAGCCTTCTCTCTGTCCTTGACTGATGCCTCTCATGGCTGTGCAGATCTCGAATCTTCCTTGGGTTCCTGACTCTTCATCTCTGCCCTGACGAGGACAGAGCTCGGGATGTGTATTCCTTCAGCTTTTTTCCTGCTCGTGGTTTCCAGGTCTTCCTGCATCCAGGCCCCCCACTGCCCCTCTCTTCGCCATCCCCTCTCCCTCCCTTTTATATAATTTTCAGATCCTTCCTCTCCTGAGTCTCTTCTGTAGGCTTTAGAGGCACTGCAATGCCCTGGCACCTGCCCTGGGCCTGATGCCACTGCAAGCAGCCCCCGTGTGTGTGGTTCGAGTATGCTCCAGTGTCGTGGCCCCTGCTGACCTTCACCTTTGCACAGGGCCTGACGTGGACAGAGTAGTGGCCATCAGGTGACTGCCTGGAGCAAGGCTTTGCTGGGCCCCGCAGCCCCTTCTTGGCCCTCACTTCACACGGATGCTCTGTGGCTTTGACACTGCCTCGTGTCTCTCCCTTGGGCCCTGGGTCGCAGGCTGCCTCCTCTCTGGGTTGCCCCACGGTCTTTCCCAGCCTCTTAAACATCTCTTTTCCTGCCACTTCTCCTGGAAAATCTTGTCTCTTAGAGGTTAAACCATCATGTTTAATGTGTTAGAAATCTCCATCTCCCGTGGATTACCTTTACTTAGGGACTGTCATTGGGGTATGGGGCGTTGGCAAAGTCTGGAGGCTGAATTGTGGACAGTAACACCTGGGGGAGCACTGCTGGCATTAGGCCAGGCATGCCTGTCAGCACCCTGCAGGGCACAGGGCAGCCCCCCACAAAGAATTACCAGGCCCCAAAAGTCTCTAGTGCCAAAGTGAGAAATTCTCCATCTGGGTGTTTGGAGGCACTTTAAACCCAGGCGTATGCAACAGGTCACAGCCACATTCCTCCCTCTGCCCTCTGTATCCAGGCTCACAGCTTTTGTGTGTGTGTTGAATTGTAAAACATGCAAAATATGACACTTACCTTCTCAAGCATTTTTCAGCGTGCATTCACACTGTTGTCAACCAATCTCCAGAACTTATCTTGCAAAACTGAAACTGCAGATCCACTGAATAGCACATCCCCCTCCTCCAGACCTTACGCCCCACATCCACTGTCTGTCTCTGTGAATCTGCTCTAGGGACCTCCCAGCAGCGGGGTCACACGGTACTCGTCTGTCACTAGCTTGTTTCACTGAGCGTCATGTCCTCACGGTTCATATGTGGCAGGATCTCCTCATTTTTAAGGTTGGATGACCCCATTGTACGTGTGCTCCACGTTCTGCTTGTCCATCATCTGTTGATGGACACTTGGACTGCTTCCACCTTTTTGCGATTGTGAATAATGCTGTGAATGTGGGGTGTGCAAATCTCTTTTCAAGGTTCTGTTTTCAGTTCCCAGAAGTGGAATAGCTGGATCACATGGTAATTCTGTTTTTAATTTTTTTGGGAGCCTCCACACTGTTTTCCACAGCAGCTGCACCATTTCATGGTCTCATCAGCAGAGCACACGGGTGCCAATTTCTTCACTTCCTTGTCTACACCTTTTTATTTTTTTTATGGCAGCCATCCTAATGGCAGTGAGGTTGTGTGTCATGGAGTTGCTTTTCCCTAATGAGAAATAATATTGACCATTGTTCTGTTTATTTTTTTAGGTAAATTTTAGAATATAATAACCATATACACTTGTGTATTCTCAGTCTGTATAATATGGAGTCTTAGTCTTAGGTCCTGCGATTAGTGTAAAGGGCAGAGTGCAGCAGCGACAGTGTGCGTGTGCACACCCCCAGTGGTGTCACTGGCTCAGAAGGTAAATATCCTCACATCACAGCTGAAGCGAGTTTATTTTTCTGGTGTCCTCTGCACCTCTTCCCCTTGGGAAACACACAGCTACAGATTATGTGGGGACGCTGCAGGGTCAGATGACTCTCCTGAGACTTGGGGAGGGCAGCTGTTTTAAACTATCCTTTTTGACTTGATGAAGTTGAAAATGTTGCAGATGTTGAGTGAGACGTTAAACTAAGCCGGTGATGAATTTGTGGACACAAACAGTTACTCCCTGGCAACATACCTAAATCAGAAGGGAGCACGTTTTGAGGATTTGTGCCCACATGGCATCCACTCTCAATTTGATGCCCTGGAGAGCTGTGATCTTTGAGAACAACTGCTCGCCCCTGCTCACTGAGGCCCAGCAGCATCTTTCCATGCGCTTTCTGACCGTGTGTGTGTCGTCTTTGGAGAAATGTCTCCCCCAGCCCTTGGCCTGTTGTCCAGTCGTGCTGTCCTGCCACTGCCTTGCGGGAGCCCCGTGTCTGCCGCCTTCCCGCTAGCACCACTCAGAGCCTCAGCTCTTCCTTCCTCCTCGCCAAGCGCTGCCCTCACACTGAGTGCCCGAGAGCTCGTGGAACAGCCGCAGCCCAGAGGGGAGGCCCTGCCCTCAGCCTCCAGAAGAGCACAGGCTCTTTGGTGGAGAGGAAGCTTCCCAGGTGCCAGGACAGAGGGTGTGCAGACACAGGGCACAGAGGCATGGAGCCAGGTGTATGTGAGCAGCCGAGAGGACCGTGAGCGTGGGTGCGAGGGCCTGGCGACGGTGCGCGCAGGTGGGCGGGAGACAGAACTCCAAGCCGTGGGCGTCACAGGGAGGGCTTTGATTGGACTGTGTGGATGCCGGTTCCCCAGCTGCTGGTGACCAATAGATCACGGCCAGTCTGGCTTTCAGGGATGCTGGCCCGCAGCTTCTCACTCGCTCTGGCCTCCCACACTCCTGAGGGGACCAGGCCTCATCGGATGGCGCTCGGCTGCTGTCGTGTGGCTCTGTACACGCTAGAGGCTCAGCCTGCACAGTCAGCTTTACTCGGTGTTCTCCGGAAAGAATGAAACTATGCGTTGTAAAGTAAGACTTCTGTGCAGGTGGCCTTGGGTTATTTTTACAGTACATCCCAGCATAGGATTCTTCTCAGAAGGTGCAGCTGTATCCGCTTTCCCTAACTGCTGTATCCACTGAAGCTCGTGATGGCGCCTGCCTCCCTGCTGCCTTGTGGACTCGTCCGTTTCTTTCTGTCTTTATCGATAGGTGGTAGAACTCCCCTAGCGGTCCTCGTCTGCCACAGCTGCGCACCGCAGGTGCTGTCTCCGTGTCTAGCTCTGGGCCAGGGCCAAGGCAGGTGGACAGGAGGAAAAGTATGTCTCCTCCATGGGAGAGGCTCAGGGCCCGGCTGCAGGTTCCCGGAAGGTGAGGCGTGAGGGTGCCGTGGGCGCTCACCATACCTCTCCTCCCCAGGGCTGGGGTCTGCTAGGTCCCCGCAACGAACTGTTTGATGCGGCCAAATACCGCGTGCTAGCCGATCGCTTCGGCTCTCCGGCTGACAGCTGGTGGCGCCCAGAACCCACCATGCCACCCACTTCCTGGCGGCAGCTGAATCCTGAGAGCCTTCGGCCAGGGGCCCCCGGGGGCCTGTCCCGTTCCTTGGGCCGGGACGAGGAGGAGGATGAAGAGGAGGAGCTGGAAGAGGGGACCATGGATGTCAGCGACTTCCTGTCCCTGACCCAGCAGGACCCCCACGCCCCGCCGAGAGACTCAAGGTACAGTGTGGCGGGGGCACAGGGAAGCTGGCCGCCCCTTGTGCGGTGGTGCTGTCCCGAGAGCCCTCTGAGATGGGAGGGCCCTGTCGTTTGGGCGCATCTGCCCGCTCGCGGGGCAGCCAGCCTGGCTGCGGCCGTGGGCCTGGTCTTTCCCCAAACAGCAGCGCAGATGCTCTCTCTGCCTCACACCCGGGCCCCCCGGAGGCCCGCAGGCTGCCCTGCCCAGCCCCTGCCCCCACCCTCTTCTCTGGGGCAGAGCGTCAGCTGTGCTGTGTGTTGGAGAGGGTCACAGGCCAGGCGGCGAAGCCCAGCCCACGCTCCGCTTGCTGGACGCAGAGCCTGGGGGGAGGTCAGCGCCGCAGGAGACCTTTTCTGCCTGACCTTGGTCTTCCCAGGGGGGGTTCCATTGAAATGACCGACGACGACAGTGCTCTCAGGGCTCTGACCCAGTTTCCACTTCCCAAGAACCTTCTGGCCAAGGTGATCCAGATAGCGACATCATCCTCCACAGCGAAGGCGAGTGGGGCCCCAGAAGTCCCTGCGGGTGGGAGGCCACCTGGTCATGTCTGGTCCCCTGGACCAGGTCGGAGGGAAGCTGCAGGCGTGCAGGAGGCCGAGGATGGAAGGACCCCAGCCAGAGCAAGGTCCTTCCCCTCCCTGGATTCTTGGAGGGGAACAGGGTGCAGCAGGGCCAGGAAGGAGTTTAGACACAGGAGCAGAGGGACGGACTGTGGCCTCGGGTGTGGGGGACCCTGGCCGCTCAGGGTGGCAGCTGTCCTGCTGATGTGTGAAAGCACCTGTGTTCCGAGGCGCTCACAGGACAGTGGCTGGGAGGGCAGGCAGTGGCAGGTGTCCCTGCTGAGACTCGGGGCTGTTGCGGGAGAGGCAGGCCGGGTGGGGCTGCTGCCTGTGGGGCCCACTCCTGCCTGGCCATGGTGCTCTGTGTGGATGGTGTCACCTGCTGAGGCGCGCTTCTCCATGCCACAGACACCCTGTCCCCTGCCTTGTCACAGTGCCCCTCTCCCCCCCTGCAGAACCTCATGCAGTTCCACACGGTGGGCACCAAGACCAAGCTGTCCACCCTCACACTGCTCTGGCCCTGCCCCATGACCTTTGTTGCCAAAGGGCGCCGCAAGGCAGAGGCTGAGAATAAGGCAGCAGCCTTGGCCTGCAAGAAGCTGAAGGTGAGTCCAGGAGGGTCCCTGGTGTGGCGTGAAATGCTGAGGCCTGCCCCCACCCTAGGCGTACTGGCCTGCTTCTCAGGCAATGAGATCCACCACCTTGGCTTGGCCTGGGCACAGAAGCACCTGGTGTCCCTGCTGTCCAGGATGGGCTGTGGCTGCTGTTCCGGGGGCTGCCCACTGCCTGTGTAGGGGGCCTGTGCCCCGGGGCTCTGCCTTCACTGCATCGTAGACCCAGAGGCGCACTTGTTATCCCTATTGGCAGACAGCTGGTGCAGTGGTGGAATATAGAAAAATCTTGGTAACCTGGGCTTTGTGGCCCAAACAAATGGCAGGACAGATGAAGGCCGGGTGCACATCGAGGCAGAGGCGCTGTGCCTTGGCTGGCAGTTCCCTTGCAGGGCCCGCAGAGGCCAAGCAGTGGGAGGCAACACTATGTGGGGGCCACCCAAGAAGCTGTGGGCTGACCACGTGGGTTGACAGTTTGCTTGCAGAACAAGGGGAGAGGGGCTCTGCTTTGCCGCGGATGGTCTGGTGTACCTGTGGCCATGAGTGCCAAGGTGGGGGCTGGGAGTGCTCAGGGCAAGTCCGGATTCTAGCCTGGTAGACATGGCCTCTCAGCTTGGTGTGTTCCTGTCCCAGAAAGGAGCCAGCGTCTGTGGGCAGGGGGCCCAGGGGGCTGTGTTGGCACCTCCTGTGGGCCGGGGATCACATCTGCTGGGAGGCCAGGTCTCGGGTCACCCTGGGCCGACTTCTTAAAGAAGGGAGTGTTTGGTCTGGGCTTTGGCGGGAGAATGGGAAACGGCTGGAGGGATCGGGCTGGCGCGAGGGCCAGGGTGACTCGGCTAGGGCAGGAGGTGCAGTGTCACCAGGGCCTTGAGCGTCAGGTGGCATGAATAGATACTTACAGGACATTCCACGTATGGTCACGAAGGGTCCCAGACGGGACAGGTGCCCAGAGATGACAGGAGGCGGCAGGCAGCTGCCTGAAAGGGTGCAGGGGGTGGGTGGGCTTTGTCGAGGCAGCTGATGTGGGGGCTGTGAAGGAGGGGCCCTGGTCTCAGGACCCTGCCGGCAGTCATGGAGGGAGAGGGGGCTTCTTTGGGGGCCCAGCTGCTCAGGGAGTAGGCCCTCGGGGTCACCCCTGCTCTTGGGCAGGTAGGCTATTCTTTTCAGACACATCAGGTCTTGATTTTCTTAAAATAGTTTTATCTAGTTTTCTTTTGGTGGAGATAAAAGTTTTCCTGGTTCCTAATTTTCTCTCCTGCACCATGTCACCAAAAACTCCTCAGAAAAGAGGCTGCCCCAAACACATCGTCCCTGGCCCTCCCAGCCTGTCTGGGCCCATCCAGGGAGGCCAGGGCAGAGATTGAGCCACACGTTCCCCGCTGCAGAGCCTGGGCCTGGTGGACCGGAACAATGAGCCGCTTACCCACGCCATGTATAACCTGGCCTCCCTGCGCGAGCTCGGTGAGACCCAGCGACGGCCATGCACCATTCAGGTGCCGGAGCCTGTCCTCCAAAAGATAGAGACCTTCCTGACCCACGTAAGTGCCGCCCCCTCCCCGTCCCAGTGGGCTGCACATCTGGCCCGGTGAAGTGCGCACAAGTCGGCCTGGTCCCCATCCCAGTGGGCTGCACATCTGGCCCGGTGAAGTGCACACAATTCGGCCTGGGGAGAGGGCTGGGGGCCCTTCCTCTGTCCCTACTGTGCTGGCTTCTCCTTCCCCCAGTTCCCTGTGGACAGTTCGTGGATCTCCCCAGAGCTCCGGCTGCCGAGTGATGACATCTTGCCCCTGGGCAAGGACTCGGCACCCCTGAGTGACCCCATCACAGGCAAGCCCTACGTGCCCCTGTCAGAAGCAGAGGAGGTGCGTCTGAGCCAGAACCTGCTCGAGCTGTGGCGGAGGCGAGGGCCCGTGTGGCAGGAGGCCCCCCAGCTGCCTGTGGACCCACATCGGGACACCATCCTCAACGCCATTGAACAGCACCCGGTGGTGGTCATCTCTGGGGACACGGGCTGTGGGAAAACCACGCGCATCCCCCAGCTACTGCTGGAGCGCTACGTGACCGAGGGCCGCGGTGCCTGCTGCAATGTCATCATCACGCAACCCCGCCGCATCTCTGCCGTGTCTGTGGCACAGCGGGTCAGCCATGAACTGGGCCCCTCCCTGCGGCGGAACGTGGGCTTCCAGGTGCGGCTGGAAAGCAAGCCCCCTGCCCGTGGCGGCGCCCTGCTCTTCTGCACTGTGGGCATCCTGCTGCGGAAGCTTCAGAGCAACCCCGGCCTGGAGGGTGTGAGCCACATCATTGTGGACGAGGTACACGAGCGGGACGTGAACACAGACTTCCTGCTCATCCTGCTCAAGGGCCTGCAGCGGCTCAACCCAGGGCTGCGGCTGGTGCTCATGAGCGCCACGGGCGACAACGCACGCTTTGCCCGCTACTTTGGCGGCTGTCCCGTCGTCAAGGTGCCTGGCTTCATGTACCCCGTCAAAGAGCACTACCTGGAGGACGTGCTGGCCAAGCTGGGCAAGCACCAGTACCCACAGCGGCACCGGCCCCACGAGGTGAGGGGCACCTGCCCAGGGCTCCTGCTTCTGCTCCAGTACCCCCACCGCCATGTCCCTGTGGCTTGGGGGGCCTGGGGTGGGTTTCTGTCCCCAAGACCCAGTGTCCTTGCTAGAAACGGGAACCAGGAGGCCTGCATGGCCAGGGTGTGCGGGTCGAGGGTGACGTGAGGGCCTATCTCGCTGAGTCTCGGGGGCCGTGACTGCGGCCTCACCTCACCCCACCCCCACCAGTCTGAGGATGAATGTGCGCTCGATCTGGACCTCGTGGCGGATCTGGTTCTACACGTCGATGCCCATGGCGAGCCAGGTGGGTCCCCCTGCCCCATGCCCACCTGATCCTGCCTGCCAAGCAGCTGCTCATGCCTGCAGGGCCCCTTTACAGGTGGGATCCTCTGCTTCCTGCCCGGCTGGCAGGAGATCAGAGGGGTGCAGCAGCGCCTCCAGGAGGCTCTGGGCGCGCTGGAGAGCAAGTACCTCATCCTGCCAGGTGAGTGTGTGCAGGGAGCGTCCCCCCCACCTGCCCTAGCCAACACTCCCCAGCAGGGTTTCTGACGAGGCTGCGCAGCCTTTGACCTGAGGTCCCAGCCCTTGCCCTGCCCACCCCTCAGGAGGCTGTGGCAGAAGCAGGGCAGTAAGCTGTCCTCCTGCCGCCAGTGCACTCCAACATCCCCATGATGGACCAGAAGGCCATATTCCAGCAGCCCCCTGTGGGGGTGCGCAAGATTGTCCTGGCCACCAACATCGCAGAGACCTCCATCACTGTCAATGACATCGTGCACGTGGTGGACAGCGGCCTGCACAAGGAGGAGCGCTACGACCTCAAGACCAAGGTGGCCCCGCAGCCCCGGGGAGAAACGCCGAGCCCCTGGGTGGCCCCGGCTGCTGAGCCTGCACTCGGCCCCGTGGGGTCTCAGAGTCCCTGCAGGGGCAGTTGAGGGATTGCGTGAGGTGAAGGCAGCAGGGCTGAGGAAGGCCAGTGGGTATGCGGCCAGCTCACCCGTCCTCTCCGCCAGGTGTCCTGCCTGGAAACCGTGTGGGTGTCCCGGGCTAATGTGATCCAGCGGCGGGGCCGTGCCGGCCGCTGCCAGTCAGGCTTTGCCTACCATCTGTTTCCACGGAGCCGCCTGGAGAAAATGGCCCCGTTCCAGGTGCCAGAGATCCTACGCACGCCCCTCGAGAACCTGGTGCTGCAGGCCAAAGTCCACATGCCAGAGAAGACGGTGCGACGGGCGTGGGCCGGGCTGGGCCGGGGTGGTGGGGCCCCGGGACGGGGCCGCTGGCTCACATGGTGGCCATTCCGGCTGCAGGCAGTCGAGTTCCTTTCCAAGGCTGTGGACAGTCCGAACATCAAGGCCGTGGACGAAGCCGTGATCCTGCTCCAGGAGATCGGTGAGTGGGCGGGGCTGGCTGGGCACGGGGCACCCACAAATGCGCGTTGACAGCCACGGTGTTGCAGGGGTGCTGGACCAGCGCGAGTACCTGACCGCCCTGGGGCAGCGCCTGGCCCACATCTCCACCGACCCCCGGCTGGCCAAGGCCATCGTGCTGGCCGCCATCTTCCGCTGCCTGCACCCGCTGCTGGTGGTCGTCTCCTGCCTGACCCGGGACCCCTTCAGCAGCAGCCTGCAGAACCGCGCCGAGGTGGACAAGGTGAGGCCAGGCCCTGCGCCCCTGCCCTGGCCCGCCAGCCTCGCGCCTGCCCTTGACAGCCGCCTGCCGCCTGCAGGTGAAGGCGCTGCTGAGCCATGACAGCGGCAGCGACCACCTGGCCTTCGTGCGGGCAGTGGCTGGCTGGGAGGAGGTGCTGCGCTGGCAGGACCGCGGCTGCCGCGAGAACTACCTGGAGGAGAACCTGCTCTATGCGCCCAGCCTGCGCTTCATCCACGGTCAGTGCCGCACCCCAGCCCACCCGCCCCGGCCCCGGTGCCCCTCACCCCTTTGCTGCTCTCCCGCCTGGCAGGGCTCGTCAAGCAGTTCTCAGAGAACATCTACGAGGCCTTCCTGGTGGGCCGGCCGTCGGACTGCACCCTGGCGTCGGCACAGTGCAACGAGTACAGCGCCGAGGAGGAGCTGGTGAAGGGCGTGTTGATGGCGGGGCTCTACCCCAACCTCATCCAGGTGCGGCTCTGCCCCGGCGGTACTCTGCCCGGGCGCCCGGCCTGCTGGTGCCCACCCGTGCTCAGCCCCCGACTCTCCTGCAGGTGAGGCAGGGCAAGGTGACCCGGCAAGGCAAGTTCAAGCCCAACAGCGTCACGTATAGGACCAAATCTGGCAACATCCTGCTGCACAAGTCCACCATCAACAGGTGCGCGGCGGGGGCGGGGGCGCGGGCGGCCGGGCGGGGGGGCGCGGCCGGGAGCCTCACCTGCGTGCGTCCCCCAGGGAGGCCACTCGGCTGCGGAGCCGCTGGCTCACCTACTTCATGGCCGTCAAGTCCAACGGCAGTGTCTTTGTGCGGGACTCGTCGCAGGTCCACCCGCTGGCCGTTCTGCTGCTCACCGACGGGGACGTGCACGTGCGCGGTGCGTAGGCGGCCGCGGGCCGGGGAGGGCGGCCGCGGGCCGGGCTCACCAGCGCCCTCCGCGCTGTGCTCTGCCCTCTCCAGATGACGGGCGCCGGGCCACCATCTCACTGAGCGACAGCGACCTCTTGCGGCTGGAGGGGGACTCGCGCACGGTGCGGCTGCTGCGGGAACTGCGCCGGGCGCTGGGCCGCATGGTGGAGCGCAGCCTGCGCGGCGAGCTGGCCGCGCTGCCAGCCCCCGTGCAGCAGGAGCACGGGCAGCTGCTGGCGCTGCTGGCGGAGCTGCTGCGCGGGCCCTGCGGCAGCTTCGATGTGCGCAAGACGGCTGACGACTGACGCGCGGGCGTGTACAGGGTGCAGATGTTTATTAGAATAAAGTTCTATTTATCCCTCGTAAGCTTCGCCGTCCACTGGGCGCCCAGGGGCTCGGGAACACTGGGCTGAGCCCCCACCTGCCCCCAGCTGCAGCCGTGGGGTGCCACTGCCCTGCCAGGGTGGGGACCGGGAGGGCCTCGGGCCCCGGGGCAAGGGGCGGGGCTCGCGCTGGACTCACACAAGCCAGGACACAGACGCCACCAGGCTGGGTGGGACACTGCGAGCTTTATTTACTCGGAGTCATTACAACAGTCTCAAACGGACAACACAGGTCACACTGGGCCACCAGCCCCACAGAGCGGCACCGGCCGGGGTCCACCTGTGACAAGCCCGCCCGCCCCCAGCCAGAGCCGCACAGCCGGCGGGCAGGCTCACGGACCTCGTGGCCAGTGACCGCGGGCCCCGTGCTGTGCCCTCACGCCGCACCACTTCCTTCTCCCCCAGCTCCACCTCACCCCTTGCTCCTCCTGAACAAATGCGCGCCCTGCTGCCCTGGCGTGGCCGAAGTGGTCAGCGTGCGGCGGCTCCGGCTCAGGGAGCCCTTTGTCCACGAGATGCTGCAACATCCGGTAGGTGCTTGGGGAGTGGGGGCATGGTGTCACCTCCCCCAGAAAACAGTGGTCCAGACGTGGGGGAGCTGCCTGGCCGATACCCACCCTCTACAGGGGTCGAGTCTGAACCTTGGCCCAAGAGCCCCTAACGCCTGCCTCCTTGGAGGGGCCTAGGAGCGGGGGTTGGCGGTGGACTGTCCTGCAGAGGGTGTGCCCCCAGGACACGCCACTTCACTACAGACTTAGGCTTTACTCCTTTATTAGAAACCATGCAAACTTTAATACAAAAAGTACAAGTGCAGTAAGAATCTGTGTGTCAATGCAATTTCCTGGACCCCGTCATCGCAGCAATCCCTGGACCACAGGGCTGGGACGCCTCCAGCCAGGTTCCATTGAGGTGGATGGCTCATCTCATGCCTTTGCACTTAAATTTCCAGATCTGATTCCCCATTGTCCACACCAGTCTGGACACCTTGGGCTCCTGGGCACAAGTGCCAAGCAGGCCTGCGGCCTGGGCATCGACCTGGCCTGTCCGTTCTCCAGCCCTGACCGTGTATCTCCCACCAGATCCAGGGAATGAGACACAGATGCCAAGCCAGCCTCTTGGTTAGAGAAGAGAAGCAGCACACGCACGAAGTGCCAGAACCAAAGCCCACACTGACCAGCCCTACATGCTCACCAGCCGCAGTCCCTCACCACCTCCGCATCGGGCAGAACGCCCCAGCCTGACTACTGGCCAGGGCCTGAGGACCTCCCCCATCCCCTTAACACCTACTGAGGACTTTCGCTTAGACCTGGCTCCAACCTGCACAACGCCACCGTCCTTAGGTCAAAACAAGAAAAAAAAGCATGACAGCAGCCGGGCAGGCGTGGGAGGCAGCAGGGCCGCCCTGACCCTAACGTCGCAAGGGGCACAAGTGGGCACCACTGCAGGGTCACAGGGAGGGGCTCCAAGGTGCAGGCAGCGCCCTCGCCATCACGCGGACGCTGCCTCCACCCTCCGCCCTGGGGACCCCGTGAGGAGGGAAGCGTGTCAGTTTCTCTTGGGTTTGGTCCAAAAAAACCCAAACAAGCAAAAGGAGATCGGACCTGGGTTCCCAGCTCCCCTGCCCAGCCCCCATAGAGCTCGGGCGGGGGCAGGAACAATGCGAGGGGAAGCGTCTACTGCCCTGGGCAAGCAAGGGAGAAAGTGGTGGGCGGGTGGTGGGGAGGCCTGAGCCGGGGCCCCCAGGGCAGGGGAACAGAGGACAGTGTCGGCCCGTGGTCGATGCCTGGAACATCAGCCTGTGGGTCTCAATCTGCAGGGACACGGGAGGAGGGAAGGGAGAGGGTAACAAGGGACACAGACGGGGACACGGGGGATGGAAGACGAGACCAGAATGTCATCATTAGATGCCTGGAAAATAAAAAGTTGCTCAGTTAAAATTCAGGCCACATTCTAGTCAAAAGGAAAGGAGTTTCAATTTGCAGGGGTGGCCAGGCCCCTGGGGCCAAGCCCAGCCACTTACTTGTCTCCTGGATCTGGCTGTCCAAGGCCTGGCCCTCCCTTTGGTCATCCCCGCTGGCCAGGGTGGCGTGGCCACTGAGGCCACTGGCTGAGGAGGGGAAGCTGGCTTCGGGTGCTGCCTCGGTGGTGGCTGGCTCCACCCCAGCTGGGGGGCCGGAACATGCAGGGGCCTCGCTGCCACTGCCCTCTGTCTACAGTGAAAGTGGGGGAGGCAGTGCAGGTCAGTCAGGGAGGGAGTGGGGTGGGGATGACAGTTCACAACCCAGCCCCCACCTCCCCGCCGCCAGATGAGGCGGGCAGTGCAGCTTCTGAGGTACGTGACCGCAGATGACAGCGGCAGCGGGCCTGGGGAGCAGCCTCCTCCAGGTGGGGCACAGGCTCGTCTGGGAGGCAGGAGGGCCACTGGCTGGCCAGGGGGCTTCCCTGAGGCGGCAGCCTTTGTTCCCAGGCCTGGGGAATGGGGAGGAGGAAGGTGCCCCAAGGAGGAGAGGGATGTGGGGACAGAGCCCAGGGTGTGGCAGGGCAGCAGAGGACCTGGAGCTGCAGTGCCCAGAAGGAGACAATGGGACACCCCAGAGTAGTGCTGGAAAACCCTTCCCAAAGGAGAACGAGGGCCAGGAAGGGTCAGGTGTGGACCCTGCTCCGTATGCACCTCCCAAGTGGCCTTGGGCAAGGAGGTGCACGCAGTCACCTCCCAAGGGACAGAGGGGAGTATAACAGCCAGGACGCCACAGCATCCATGGGGCACTGAGGGAGGGGACGGGCCAGCAAGGCAGTCCCTTGAGGAGGGGTGGCCCACAGTAGCTGCCATGTTCCCTCTCCCTGAGCAGCGTGGCCATCCACAGCCTGAGCCACCTACCAGGTGCTGCCCCCATGGGTCCCCCACCACCAACAACAGAATAGGTTGGGCACAGGAGGGCTCTCACAGGACGGGCAGGAGAGCCCAGTCACACCCAGGGCGGCCACCCTGCCTCGTGCACACTGCCAGGAAGCGCCAGAGCCCGTGGACGCCAGGCCTGCTGGCACTGTCAGTTGAAAATGTGTCCCCTGCTACCCGGCCAGGACCCGGCCCAGCACAGGCTGCGGAGCCCCATCTCCCGTGGTGGAGGAACTCCACCACTGAACACGGCTTGCCAGCCAGGGAAGCCCCCACTCAGGACGTGTTGTGCCTCCAGGCGCCAGGTGGGCGGAGTGGCCGGGACCCAGTGGATGGAACAGCCCGAGGCGGGGCGAGGCCCTCCCTACCTTGGCAGCGCCCCCTGCAGACAGGCGGCCCACGTCCAGAGACCCCACCTTCGCCTGGGCCTTCTCCTTGAAGTTCAGCTTCTGACTTTCGATCTTGACATCTCCTCCACCTGGAAGCAAACAGGAGTCGGTCACCAGGGCCGGCAGGCACCCCGCAGGCAAAGCCAGCAGGCTGGAACAGGAACCCCAGCCTGGCCAGGCGCCGCCACATGCCCAACAAATGGGGCAGCGGCAGCACAGCAAACCAGCCTGTCAATTAGCAAGTATGGACGTGCCCTGGGGAAGCACCACCTGCACCAGCCCCGGCCACGGAGGGTCAGGATCCTGGCGAAGAACTGCTGGAACCACTGTGGGAAAGGCAGAGCCACGTCCCACTGACCCCACTGAGCGCAGGGGGCGGGCGCCTGAACCCTGGCCTGGCCCCCTCTGCCCAGCTCTGCGGCCCCTCGGCCTCCCTTCAGAGCCTGTCTCCACTCCCATCGCAAACCTTGCACCCTTGGAGATTCTGGCCAAACGCTCCAGTGCCCTCCAATCCCCCCGTCACTCAGTGTCACTGGGGAAAAAGGTGCCTCACAGGTGTGGGTTTTCCAGGTGAAAGGGGAGAAATGAAAGTTCGTTACAGGCCAAACTTTTAAAAGGGACACGTTTTTGCCAAGAAGAAAGGGCATTTTCGTGGCCTTCACTCACAATGGCCCTCAGGACTGACTGCCAGGTGCGATACTGCCGACCCCCGATCTGTGGCCCGGACCCTCACAGCGGGTAGCATTCCTGCCGCCTCTCCATCTGTGCCCAGCACTGGTGCCCGGCGCTTCCTGTTCCCAACACCCTCTGCTCCAGACATGCTGGGTCAGCCACCCACACTCTGTAGCTCTGGGTGCTCATGGGGGAAGGCCGAGCTGCAGGTCAACCCCAGGTCCCAAGATGACACTCATGCAAATGGCAGCCTCTGCCAGGTGTCCCTCCTGCAGCTAGGAGGCTGCTGCCCAGTGCCTCCCCGTGGCGCCCGTGGCCCACTTGCCCCCAGCAAGGAGGCGCACTCACCTGGCTTGTGCCTGATGTTGGCCTTGGAGCCGCACTTGGAGGAGACCCTGGAGACATCCACCTTCTTGTTCTGGATCTGAACCTGAGGAGGAGCCACAGGGAAGCGCTGCCTCAGAGACCAGCCCTCCGCACCGGCCACACTCCCAGGCCCCCAGCACCGCGGGCAGCTCTGCCCTTCCTTCTCTGGACCCGAACCTGAAATGCCCAGTTTCCTCCACCTCCAGTCTTACCCACCAGCTCCTTGCCTGCGGAGAACCTGCAAGCAAGGTTTTGGCCCCTCCTCCCGGCCCTGCCAGTGTGAGCCCCCTGGCAGCTGAGGCAGACACCTGCCCCCAGACGGACAGGTGTATCTATAGGTGCACCTCCCTCCGTCTGGGATTTACTGCTGAGGTCACGATACAGCATTTTCCCACAGGCTGTGACATGCAAACGAAGGACCACATGGTAAACCCATGAGATTCTATATAAACTTAACCACGTCCCTGGCACTGAGCATTTAGGTTTCCCTAGTCTGGCACTATACTATCATGACCACAGCAGCCACGTGTATCTCTGTGGAGGGAGCCTCTGTGGTGGCGATCCCTCCAGCCGGCGCCCAGACCTCCAGGGACCAGGTCAGGGGCTCAGGCTGCAGCTGACCCACAAGTGCTGCCCAGAATGGGGCTGTGCGGCTCACTGCGCCGTGTCTCAGCCTGGCCTCCAGCACTGGCACTCCATCACAAATAAACCTGCTAATTCGTAGGTGACAGAAGCTTCACTTTGGTTGCTCTGCTTACAATTAAGTTTACGAACCGTTGGCAGTGTCACCTCTCGTCCCAGGGCCCCACCAGCACCGTTTCCAACAGGCCCGCAGGCCCCACCCAGCAGCCCAGAGCTCTGCGTCAGCAGGGGCTGCACCCAGCCTGCGTTTTGCTCCTGACAGGGTCCATAGGCCTTGATCTAAGCCGACATTCTGTCCGAGTTTGCTGAGTATCAGGAACGAATGGCCTCGCGAGATTGTTCATCCAAAAAGAATCACAGTGCGGACAGGCTCTGGGCTGATGACCAGCTAGCACGTCCTCTGTACCTCGTCCTGCTTTTGAAATGGCCAGAGACCTCGACCATGTCTGCTCTTCAGGAGCTTTGAAAACCGTCCCAGCACCAGGACGGAGGGCATGTCTCCAGGTCAGAAAAAGATGCTGGCTGACAGGAGTCCCAGCTGAGCTCCTGGATGGGTCGGCCGCAGTTCCCATGGGTGGCCCAGTGGGCCCTGGAGGAAGAGCCCGCCCCCCAGCACAGTCAGCCCCACCCCGCAGTGGCCCACCCTGTTGGTGGAGTTTGATCATGAGGCCACTAAACGGAGCCTTTGAGGGCCTCGCCTGCTTCTGTGTCAGGAGCTACATTCTCCACCGTGTCCCAGCAGGGCGGGCACCGTCTCTCCACCCCACCCAGGGCCTGGCCCAGAAGAACTTGCCGAGGTGGTCAGCGTGCCTGGGCCCCCACGCCCCACGCCTGGCGAGCCTATCACAGCGGCCCTGCAGCGCCTTCCAGCCCCCTGCTCACACTGCCTCCTGGAGGACACGAGCAGCTGCGCACTGACCATGCACCGTGCCTGGGCTCACCAACTGGCCCCGTCCCAGCAAGTCCGCAACGACACAGAGAGGCGGCCGCCACACATCCCGCTGTGGCTGTGAGCTCGCCTTCTCTGATGCCCCTGACCCATGTGAGGAGCCAACGCAGGTGCCCCGCCAGGGTGGGCACAGGTCGCAGGCACCCGAGGCCTCCCCTTGCCTCTCCTATGGCTGCCGAGGACCCGCTTTGCAGGCCCGTGCCAGCCAGCCGGGTCAACGATGGCAGATGGCCTCCCCACTGTGGCCACGCTGGCCAGGCCGGGACCACAGCGGCCAGCGCCACAGCAAGGTGCCCAGAGAAGCAACACTGCCTCTGCGAGTGCTGCCGACACACAGGGAAAAAAGTGAACCTGAGACAACTTAGAGGAATCGAGGGACAGGAGCACCACAAAACCACAGGTGTGAGCAGCAGCTCCAGGACAAGCCACTCGGCTGGAATCCCCGCAGACAAGGGGATGGGGAATGCAGAGAAACCCGGGGCCTCAGAGTCGGCACAGGACCGGCACCACCTCTGACCCGCCCAGTGAGCAGACTGACAGGGGGACGCCTGTGGGCGAGCGACAGGCAGGTGCAGACAGAGACCAGCCACAAAGCAGGGCGTGAGCTGGGTGCTGGGAGCGGGTGGGTCACGGTGCCGCCTTCTATGCACCTTTCTGTGACTCAAGGTCTGGACAAGCCCAGCTGCGTCCTTCCGCCTCTGGCACACGAACCCACAGCCTGCATCCTAGTCATCGCCTGGGGCCACTCGCCTCCACTCGAGCTCTGTCTGAAGGGCCCTGCATGGCTCCAGCCCAGGACATTTCTCATGTTTCAAGGGCTGGCCCAAATGTGCCCCCCAGGGAAGCCTGGCAACAGCCAAAGCCACCCTGTGGCCCTCTTGGTGCGCTAACAACTCCACACCCCGTGGCTGCCCCGGCCAAGGGAACGGGCCTGTGGTACACAGCCCCTCACAAGGGTCCAGCACAGTGAAGGCCACCACGAGACTCTGGTTGGGATCAGCCCCCGAGGTAGCCACTGTCCCCTCCCTGGGGCCCTCTGGGCCCTCATAAGGGCAGGTCTCTGTGCACACGCAGGCATCTGGGCAACACAGACTGCGATCCCACTCCGAGCCTCATCCGGTCAGCAACCCCACAATCTCTCCACGGGAGGGCTGCAGGCGTGGGGCCTGGACACAGCACAGCCATGCACTGGCCTCCAGGAGGCTGCACAGGGCCTCGCCTGCCCCCTGGGGACGGCTCATGCTCTGCTGTATGAGGAAGCCCCCTAGAATGGAAATGCTAAAAAGCACATTGCCACAGTCTTGGCCACAGTCATGTGTAGACAGCATGGGAAGCCACAGCCAGCACCACTGTTACCCCGTGTGGAAGCACAGTGTGGGGAAAGGGCGCTCTGTGGGCACGCGCCCTGCTTCAGCTGCTGGGGGTGCGGTGCGCAGAGCCTCACGGCCATGGGAGTGGAGCAAAGCGGAGCAGGACTTGCCCAGGAGAACGAACAGGCTGGGCCCCGGAGAGAGAGGCGTGAGCTGGGGCTGCGGGCTGCCTGCCCGTGCAGCCAGGCCGTGCTCTTTGCAGGGGAGGGGACAGTGACACACTGACCCCCACCCCCTAGACCAGGCCCTCCCAGAGCTGGAGCCACCTGTGTCCCCTGTGCTGGCACAACAGCAGAGAGACAAGAAGGCTGTCAGGAAGGGAGAGGAGAGGAAGCACGGAGAGGAGAAGAGGCGAGGGAGGGAGAGGGGCTGGGAGCCCATCTCAGGCTCCGTACGAGGACTCAAAGGTGGGGTTTCCTCAAAGCCAGGACCCCGGCCGAAGCAGGGTACAGGCAGAGGCATACCCCTGCCAGCCTGCAGCGACGCTGCCTTCCCGACGGCCTCCCACTCACAGGGCAGACGCCAGCAGGAGCCTACGGGGGCTCCACCTAACCATGTGCAGGCAGCAGGGTCTCATGGGGCAGGCGTGGGCCAGGCAGAGCCCCCTCCCCATGGGCCCCCAGCGTGCCAGCAGGTGGGCCCGGACGGCGCTGACCAGCACTCATACTCACACTGCCGCCTCCAGGCACGTGCTTAATATTGTCCTTGGAGCCACACTTGGACTGGATATGGCTGTAGTTCACTTTTTTGGAGACTATCTGGACCTGGAGTGTTGGAGAACAGAAAGACAACACAAAGGGACAGGGCTGGTTAGACCGATGCGAGCAGGAGCCCACATGCGAGGCCCTACCTGCCCCTCCCAGGGGCTCATCACCAGGCCTCCCCAGGGACAGCTGCTCTCCCGAGTCTGGGGCCTGGAACACTGTGGCCAGGACTGCTCAGGGTGCAGGGCCGCCCACAGCAGCTCTGGGGGGCCAGCTTCCAGCCTGACATTCAAGGAGGAAACGGACGGGCTCTGCCTGGCACTGAGAGGACGGAGGTGCTGGGCCTGCGGTGCAGGGTAGCGGACACGGGGTCCCACGCGGAGCCCCGGCTGCCGTGTGCTTTATGACCGGAGGGCAAAACCTTCGGCCCTCCGACCCTCCCGTCCGGCACCTGCAGCCACTCAGGCCTAGTTGCTGGCACTGTCACGGGCAGCTCGGACTCACAGAGCACAGCGATCACCCTGAGAGACCGCACCCCGAGAACCTCGCTGCTTCTTGCCATCGTCAGAGCTTTGCTGAGTGAGCTCTCCTGGGCCCTGGTATGAGCTGGGCCCTCCACGGGCCCCCCGGAAGCCAGGACTTGCCTTCCTCGCCTCGCCTGCAGGGACCCTCCCTGGGCTGAGGCCTCCACCCTGCCCCCCACGGGGCCACCCAGGAGCAGGAGGGGCTGGTTTCAAGGTGTGGGGACCACGGGAAGAGCCCAGCGCTGAGGCCGCCCTCTGCCCCATAGCTCACGCTACCATCCCAGCACGGAGTGGTTTCCGCTAGGAGCACGCACGCCACCTCCACACCCAGCAGTTAGGAGGTGTGCCTGCAGCTCAACTCGGGCCAGGGCCGCATCCGGTCGGGCCAGACCCAGGTGCCCTGCAGGGGACCGCGCGCGCACACGTGTGGAATGGTGAGCTCCAGAGCCAGACCAGTAGAGGGTACACTTAAACCAGCTGAATAAATGTTCGCCAAAGGGCTGATGGGTCAATACAAAAAAATGCCCTGATGGCTGAGTCATCCCACACAGAGGAAGGGGCACAGAGCAGGAGGCCTGGAGAGGGCAGTTTGCCCCCTTGTACTTGGAAGAGGCAAAGAGCAGCGGAGCAGAACTCACTTTCCCAGCAGGCAGTCTCTGCACACTCACAGCTGGGCCCGAGGTCTTGGCAGCTGTGCTGGGTTCGGGCTTTCGAGTGGGAGCAGCCCCCTCTGTTTTCTTCTCCACTTTGGCCTAGGTGGAGATAAATGGGGGACAAATCTCAAACCAAGCAGATACCAGCCCAAATGCAAGACGGGACGGTGGCTGTAGGGGACCCAAATCGACGCCAGGCCACCAGGCAGAGGCAGGTCACCCTGCTCCTCAGTAGAAGCGCCCAGTTCCCAGGGTGGCGGCCCAGATGCAGCTCACAGGAGAGGCGGATGGCCAGATGGGATTCCCTTTGCACGTGTGATGGGCTGTCACATTCAAATCGGGAGGCACTCCCATGCTAATGTTCTCATGGCCCACCAAGCTGCCGTGGTCACAGGGAGCCACTAGTGGTGGTGGCACGTCACAGCCTTCAGGCACGCTAGAACTGAGTAACAACTTCCCACCACGCTCTGCAGCAACTTCTGTGCTGTGAGAGTGCAAGAGTCGAGACGGGGCACCACACCCCAGACGCCGCTGGGCACAACACAGCCACCACCTCTCACAGAAGCACTCTGGGCCCTTATCGCAGGACTGGCTGCCCCGCGGGACCCCCATCTCCAACTCTCCGCAGCTCTGCACAGGAGCAATGAAAGTGCCTGCCCTGCAGGGAGGACGGGGTGATCCAAGAGGGAGATTGGCGCTCTGGGGCCTGCCCTGCCAGCCGCTCCACCGCAGTCCTTTGCTTAGGAAAACCGGGGGTCCCTTGTCCTCTGCCAGACACTCCACCCAAGTCTGGGCTTGGGGCAGGGGGCGGCATCCTTCCCTCTCCCTCACCTGAAGCTCGGTGCAGGGGACAGGGCCACGCCCAGGGTCTATCGCCTGCACAGAGCTCTGGAGGCCATACCCTGATGGCCCTTCTTTGCGGGACCCCTTGTGGTGGGAGGCCATGTCTGGAGACTGCTTAGAGGCTGGCAGGGGAGGAAGCAGGGACAGCACGCTGAGGACCCACCCGGCCTCCTCCTGGCTGGTGCTTGTTGTTCTCCAAGCAGCGGACACTCTTCAGATCGGAGGCAGAGGTCCGGGCAGCCAGGAGGCCCACCCTGGGGGCAGAAGAGCTGGGCTTGGCTGACATGGGCTTCTTGTCCACTGGCGGCGTCCCAGAGGGCCGGACAGGCGTGGATGCAGGCTTGACGCGACCTGGAGCACCCCCAGCAGGGAGCGCTGCCCCAGGCGCAGGGACAGTCCTCTTCGGGGAACTGGTGGTGGTGCTCTTGGAGCGACTGGAGTCAGCTGCAGAGGGAGTGAGAGACCGTGAGCATTCCAGGCAAGAGCGAGAGGGTGGCACACAGCCCCGAGGGGGCAGGGTCTGCACGTGGGGGGCATTACCTGGTGCCACCTTCTTCACATCTGCAGGCCTCCCCTCAGTCCTGACAGCTGCACAAACACACACTCGTTAACCCCACACTGAACAGATCAACCCAGCGAACTGCTCATCCCATACCGAGCTTCACGCGTCACTGCCAGTTAGTGGGCACCCCTCTAGGCCCAGAGCTGCACGCGTGTGTGGAAACGGGGAGCTATCAGGCAGCCACATAAGGACCGTGGCTCAAGGCCGGGCATGGCTACAGTCATGACCTGCCTCACACGTGGCTGCAGAAGCGGTGCTGATGGGACGGAATGGCCTACTTCCTACCACGTGTGCCCTGGGCCACAGCATGCTTAGTGCTGGCAGTCACCGAGGAATATAGAGCGATCTACCCAGGAATTCACTCCAGATTTTCTGAACAGACCACCGCTAACTCGCACGGAGTGGAGGTGCCCCTGCTCACTGAACCCATCCAAGGCCGGCTCACAGCAGATCCGCAAAGCCTCCACAATGCCAGCTGGAGCCACAGCTGGGGCAAAGCCAGGGCCCGACAGCCCCCACTGGTTCCCAGGGAAGGAAGGGGCCGGACTCACCTGGGGGCCTCCTGGGCAGGGCTGCTGGGGGGCTCCTGCCGCCAGCTCCCTGGGTGACGGCCGCTGCGCCTCTGGGAGCCACCTGGGCACTCCTGGAGCTGGGCCTGGAGGCTGGGGCAGAGGCCAGCTTGGGGGGCGAGGCCCGCTTCTCAGGGACCTTTGCCTCCGCAGTAGGCTGGGGACAGAGAAGTGGGGTGAGGGGTGCGGGCCCACGGCCAGTTCCCGGTGAGCACATGCAGGGGAAAGGGGTCCCCATGGGTGGGGCAGCTCCAGACAGAAAAGCAGGTGTAGGGTGCTGTGTGACCTGCTCCAGGAAGGAGGGAGGTGAACGGCACCGACCCAGCCTGGACAGGGGTGATGGCCCGAGGGGAACACCATCTCTGCCTCAGAACGACTGCCGGTTGGCACCGAATCTACGGCATTCAGTATCTGAGCAGACTTAAAGCACACATGAAAACAAACATTAAAGGTGACGTCCAGTCCGATTCAGCCATCCTTGCAGCGCAGACGTTCCCAGTGAATACGAACAGGGGGCCCATGGCCCAGCCGCCACCCCACGGGGCACATCACTGGCCTCTCTAGGCTCCATCTCCTCATCTGGTTAGAGGAAGTTGGAACCAGCCTTATCACGTATGTGATGTTAGGAGCCAGGGAGCAGAGACGGCATTTCGGGGGTGGGGGCGCACACCAGACCAGCAGAGGGAGGAGAGACAGGGAGCCACAGCTGCTGCGAGCAGGCGGCCCTTCAAGTGCAGCGGCCTGGCCATCAGCTCCTACGGTCAGGGGCCAGGAAGGGAAGGAATCAATTTAGCCTGTTTCTATAGGAACGGGGGGTGGACACACCACTCTGATGAACCAGCACCCCACTTCACCACAAGAGTAAGCCACACCACAGACACAGTGGGCCCATCTCCAGCTAAGAGAAGCGGCCACAGGAGGGCAGCGTGCTGACGGGCACCAGCAGGGCACTGCTTGGGTGGGAAACTGGCTCAGGAGATGCTCAGAAATTAAGGGTTGGTACCAGTTCCATAAAGCCTAGACCAACAAAGGCAGTAATGGCCCTTCTAAGCATGGCATGCAGAACCCTGCAGTTGCAATCACAGGAACTGGGTCAGCTACCAACTCTGTCTGGAAATACACTGGGATTTTGTGCAGACGGAGTCCCTCCCCATCTCTGTTTGCTCTAAAATTTGAGGGCTAGACAAGGCTCTCCGAGTCTCCCTCAAATTTTCAAAACTATGACTATGATTCAGAATCACCCACTGGGGTCTTACTATTTTGCTAGTAAGAATAACAATGATAAAATAAGTTAGAAAAAGACCCTTGAGATGGAAACCCCTGAAGAATGTGACACTCCTCGGGTGTCAGCCTGCCTTCACAACTGGAGGTCTTCTGCTATTTCTCAATTTATATCTTCTCCTATGCCAGAATCACACATCTACTTATTTTTTCTGGCAAGCTTTTCTCCCTCTTTGCATCTATAATCTTTCTGCCAAATAAGGATAAAAATGAATGTCATTAGACGTCAGTTTTGCTTGTCTGGGAATTATTTAATCCCTCCTTCATATTTAAATGATAATTGTGCTGGATATAGTATTCTTGGTTCAAGGCCCTTCTTTTTCATTGCATTAAATATATCACGCCATCAGATGTCAGTTCTTATCAATCTCTCAAAACGTTCCTATCTGTTCCTCATCCAAAAGATAAACAGAAGCAATAGTCACAACACAGATCGCCTCTTCATGTCGGCTCTACCTCGGAATGCTGCCTAGGGGGTGTGTGGCGAAAGTCCTGGGAACACGGCGCCCGAGGCCCTGGGCGTCAGCACCAGAGCTGGGTCCAAGTCGGAACGGCAGCCCTACCACTTCGTAGCACCGACCGTGGGAAGGCTGTCTGACTGAGCTGCCCCATGAGGGCACTGGTGTGGGCATCACAGCCGACAAGAGGGAATAGGGGAGTGAGCATGTGTAAAGAAATGGGTACAGAACATTATTGTTACAGAGTGAAATTTCACCGGACACCCGCCCTGCCTGCCCAGGATCTGCCGCTGAGGGGGGACAGGCTGTGCTGGGCTCCAGGCACCTTCCTCTGCCCTCATTCACATCAATCATATCCGAACGATCAAGAAAAGCAGTCAGCTAGGCACTGAGGATCAGCGGCTTCAAGAGTGGTCATTCCTAGACTGGATTTCCCAGTCTCTTGGCCAGGGTTCCAACCTAGACTACAGTTCCTAGGTTCCAGACATTTTAAGAGGGAAAACTACTTCTCACCATGATTTAAAGAACAACATCTGGCTGACCTAAAGGCCCAAAACATTCAGGATGCAGCCACAGATCCCACCCATTGCCCTGCTGAGGACAATCCCCAGCTTCTAGGCCTCTGTGGAAGGCCTGGGAACCAGAACGCTGGAGAAGGGGCCCCATGAGGGGCGGCCTGGCGCTAAGGAACAGCGAGCTGTCCCAAGGTGCTGGGGGACCTTTGAGGGGAGCTAGAAGTGGGGTAACAAAACCAGTAGGTAAAACTCACTTCCGCAGAGGATTAAAGAGAAAGACAAAGACCTGAATCTAACTGGGAATTTAATGCAGGAATTATACCAAAAATGAGTGTCTGGAGTAGGGGAACTGGCTCAGATTGGTGACAAGTGAAGAGATACCAAAGGAGAGTCCGTGGTGCTTCCGAGCAGGCAGGGAAAGTGCACCGAGTGTAAAGGCCTTCATGCCGTGGCCGCACCGTGAACCCCACACAGGTTTTCAAGTCACGCTCTGCATTCTCTTGCCTTCCCAGGCCCACCAGCCTGACACCAGGTCTAGCAGCAGCGAGAGAGTATGGGACACCCGGGGGAAGCTCTTCTCTGGCAGAGTGCTGAGGAGGTACTCACCTTGGGCTTCAGGTCTCTCGAAGGTAAAGTGGAGGGCCTGGCGGTGGTGGCCGTGGGGCGTTTGGGTGGGACAGCCGGCACTGAGCCTGAGGCAAGGGTCATGGGTTTTTTATTCGGTCCACCAGAGGTGGTGGGAGCTGGCTGCTTAGGGAGAGAAGTGGGCTGTGTTTTGACTTTCGATGTTGAAGTCTTTGCAGGCTGAGTGGTGGCCAAAGGCTTTAAGTTGATTTGTTGTTTTTTTTTAAAGGCCAACATCAAACACACAGACAAGAATAAAAACAAATTTAAAAGAATGTATAAACTGCACAACTCAAAGTAAAATTACAAGCAATGAGGAGATACGCAACTGAAAATTGGCATTCCTTTCTTCTGAGCATGTAAATAGCGGTAAGAAACCAGGGTGGAGACAAAGAAACCTGGGAACGGCTTCTGACTGACAGTGCCACGAGGGTACGTGGTTTGGCACCTGAAGATCTAGTCTAGTAACAGCTCTAGCTTGCTTTCGGTGGCTGCGTCACTTCTACGAAGAAAGTCACCGCGGGTGATTAAGCTGTTACTCCCTGTGACTTCCACGGGGCCAAACAGTGCCCTGTTCACAGACACCGGAGGGGCGCCTCTGCTTCGCGGGGAGCGCCAGTAAGTGTCCAAAGCTACGATGCAGCCTAAAAATCTGTGCTCCATTTCCACCCAGGGAGTCCAGAACCTGTTTCTGGGAGCCCCATGACTCCCTCTGATGCTGTGTGAAGGCAGCAGAAATGACCCAGGCCACTTCCACAGATGTTCAAGACCACGGGATGGAAGGCTGAGACTTCACGGCATGATTAGGCCACTATGGTAAAACGGGAACATAAACTATTTTCTCAACATTTCTAAACTTGAGGAAGGACTCATAATAGCTCAGAAAAAAGGAATTTCACTCATGATGCAAGCAATAACAGCATCAGATACTGTTTTTACGAGTCACAGTAACAGAAGCCAGCCCAGCCCCCGGGCACCTACCCTCGCCTTCTTCCCGGGGCTCGGCGGGAGCTCCTTGCTGGGCGGGGCGGTGACGTCACTTCCGGCCACGCCCACAGCCGGCCGCCAATCTTCCGGCTTAGCTACTCCTAAGGAGGGGAAAAGGCACCCTAAGCAAATGTTTTTCACACCCAGTTTGAACATGCAAGTCTCGGCACAGGCAGACGGCTATATAAGCAGCACTTCATTCTGAAAAAGTGGGCAAGACTCCCACGCTCCCCTCGACGGATGGTTTTCGATTTGAGAGATTCCAGCGGCCTGTCCCTGCGGAGAAGCAACCCAAGTGGAACTGGCACAAAGGACCGGTGAAAGGAAATGGCCCTTCAGGTCTGGTGTCCCTTCCCTGGAGACCAGCAAAAGGGTTCCGTCACCGGGCCACTGCCCCCCTGAGCACACAGGACAAAGCCCTCTTCCCCGAGAGCCTGGCTCCGGGCACGAGGCTGCTGAGATGGGAGGGCTTCCAGCGCGCCCCCCTTCCCCCCTGTCCCCGTGCAGCACTCGGGGACGGCGGGAGGTCGACCTGATATGGTCCTAGCAGTGCCCCAGACTTCCGAGGCTGGGGAGACCCGTGAAGTCAGTCCTGGAGCCAGAAATAACGTCCACAGTGGCTCTAGACTTCAGCAGGGCTGCACATCGAAACACTAAAGTACCATAAAATTTACAACTTGGGTGCGGCAAAGACCTTTAATCTAGCAGCCACAAAAAGTAAGTCTGACTAAAGAAAAATTTTAAACTTCGATGTGGCCCCAAGAAAATGATAAGCCCCCAAAAAAGAGAAGATAGACAGCAAAAAAATATTGAAACTCACAGCAAAGACAAAGACCTGACTATATAAATTACTCCTGCAAATCAGTAACTTCTATAAAACCCAACAACCCACTAGAAAACTTGCCAAAAGATATGAAAACCCATTTACAGGAAAAATACAAATTACTTCCAAAAATATGAAAAGATGTACAATCTTTCAGATATATGTAAATTGAGACTACACTGAGATGCCATTTTTAACCTATTGTCAAAAGTCCTAAAATTTGAAAATATCTGTTGGGGACAATATGAAGATACATTCTGCTGGTAAGTGGGTGAAGGAATACAACGCATACGCAGGGTACTCACTGGGGTCTGAAAAGTATACTACATAAATCCTAATCAAGACATTAATTCCTAGATATTTGTCTTGGAGAGATACTTACACACCTCCAAAAGGCAAGTGTGTAAGGCCTGTCACCAGAGCGCTGTTTCTAACAGCAAACGGAAGAAACGATGCATGGTCTGTTCATAGGAAAGTGGTTACAGTGAGACGGTAGAAACATCAAAGTAACCTCTGAGTCTGAAAAAGCATGACTGATGCAACACCATCTCCGTTAAGTGAAAAAAAGCACAGAACAGTATGTATATAACATGAAACCATCTATCTAGACAAGGTACCGGAAAATAATTTTCTGTGGCAAATACATTTGTATATGCATTTCAAAAAGGCTTTGGAAGGATATCATGATGAAACAAAACAATGGTAACAATTTCGGGAGAGGGGTAACAGAGCACAAAACTAGGGAAGGCAGGAAGCTTTACTTTAAAAGCTTTTGTTTTGAAATAATCAGATCCATTGGAAGCTGCGAGGAAACGTCCAACCAAGAAGGGCAGCGTTCCCTTCACACACATTTACACACACACTCACACCACTGGCATCTGCACAGCCGGGGGCACACTACCAAACCAGGCAGGGGGTACAGGTACGAGGCTCTCCCAGGTTCACACACAGCCACCTGTGGGGGCACGCACACACACACAGGTCCAGGGAGCCGACGATGAGTACACACCCCCGCCCCACCCTAGGGGCTCCCTCTGCCCTTCCCCATCTCTAAGCCTCAGCTCTACAGTATCACTTTAAGAAAACAGATAGACGGACTTGTACAGTATGCGGCTCTCCTGAATACTCCACTCCTGAGATGCACCCATGCTGCTGCGCCAGTTCCCTTGCTGCTCCACGGTCCGCTCTACAGCGCAGTCAGCCACTCACCACGGAGGGGTTCTGGTTGTTTCCAGTTGTTGCTATTACGAATAGAACTGCTGTAAGTGTTTATGGGCAGAACTTTAATACAGTTTCACTGTTAATACATGGAAATGCAACTGCCCCTGTGGCCTTCCTGAACTCACTGCCTCATTCTCGGACTTCTTTGGTAGCGCCCTTGGAATTTCCCATGTAAACAATCGTGTCATCTACAAATACAGCCAGATTTATTTCCTTTCTAATCTACATGCATTTTGTTTCCCTTCCTGCTTTATGGTGCTAATCAGAACTTCCAGGACTGTATGAAGTAGGAGTGCTGAGAGCAGGCACCCTCATCCCCATCTTAGGCAGAAGCCTTCAGCCTGTCACTGAGAACTATGATGTTGGGGGGTGTGGGGGTGTGGTTTGTAGGTGATCCTTTTCCAGGTGAGGAAGTTCCCCTCTATTCCTTGATGAGTCTTATGAAGAATGGGTATTGGATTTTGTTGAATGCATTTTCTGTGTTTATGATTGTTTCCCTTTAGACTGTTGCTATGGATAACACTGACTGGTGTTTGATTACTGAACCAGCCTACCAGCCTTGCATTTTGAGGGACAAATCTCACTTGGCTGTGGTATATAATTATCTTCAGATATTACTGGGTGTGATTTGTTAATATTTCGTTAAGAATGTCTGCAGCTAAGTTCACAAGAGACATTGGTGCACTGTTCTGTACTGTCTTTGCATGATTTCGGTGTCAGGATGATATGGACTTACTTAACACTTCATAAAAAGGTGTTCCCTCCTTTTATATTTTCTGGAAGGGAATGTGCAAAATTGGTGTCAATTATTCTTTAAATACATGGTAAAATCCTCCTCTGAAACCATCAGAAGCTGGTAAATTAAAGTCAGTTTCAGGACCCGAGAACCAAGATGGCAGTGTAAGTAGAGTAGCGGAAATCTCCTCCCAAAACCATATATATTTTTGCAAATACAACAAATACAACTAATACTAAAAGAGAGACCAGAAGACACAGGACAACAGCCAGACCACATCCACACCTGCGAGAGCCCAGCACCTGGCGAAGGGGGTAAGATACAAGCCCGAGTCCGGCAGGACCCAAGCGCCCCGCACCCCAGCTCCCGGCGGGAGGAGAGGAGTTGGAGTGGGGAGAGAGCCCAGGACTGCTGAGCACCCAGCCCCAGCCATGCACACCAGAGTGCAGACACAGTGCATGCGTGGGGTGCTGGATACTAGGGAAACAGGGCAGTAAGACCTGTGAGCAGGTCCCCGCAGCCGGCGCACCCAGGACAAAGAAAAGCGAGTGCTTTTTGAAAGTCTTAAAGGGACAGGGAGCCCAGAGCTGGACGGAAGCGCCCCAGGACACTTAGCCCAGCAGCTGCGAATCCCGGGGAACTCTGGGCACCTGAATCCCCGCAGCACAGCTCGGAGGCCCCTCACCACGATAAACAGCCCCCCGCCCGTTCCCCCTCCGACGCGGCTCCGCCATATCAGAGCAGCAACCTGAGGCAGGCCACACCCACAGCAACCGCTGAGCTAAATAAACTCCATAGCAGCTGGGCAAGATCAGAAGCCCTGTCTGCATGCAGCGGCCCAGCACAAGCCACTAGAGGCCGCTGCTCTCCCAGGAGAGGAAGGCCACAAACCAGCAAGAAGAGACTGTCTCGTAGCCAACACATGTGCCAGCTCCCCACAAATACCTCTATCGCCATGAAAAGGCAGAAGAAATTGATACAGAGCAAGATCACAGAGGCAAACCCTGAGAAGGAGACAGACCTAACCAGTCTTCCAGAGAAAGAATAAAAAATAAAGCTCATAACCATGCTGATGGAGCTGCAGAGAAATATGCAAGAGCTAAGGGATGATGTCCGGAGGGAGATCACAGAAATGAAACAATCTCTGGAAGGATTTATAAGCAGAATGGATAAGATGCAAGAGGCCATTGATGGAATAGAAACCAGAGAACAGAAACGCATAGAAGCTGACGCAGAGAGAGATAAAAGGATCTCCAGGAATGAAACAATATTAAGAGAACTGTGTGACCAATCCAAAAGGAACAATATCCACATTATAGGGGTACCAGAAGAAGAAGAGAGAAAAAGTGATGGAAAGTATATTTGAAGAAATAATTGCTGAAAACTTCCCCAAACTGGGGGAGGAAATAATCAATCAGACCACGGAAGTACACAGAACCCCCAACAGAAGGAACCCAAGGAGGACAATACCAAGACACGTAATAATTAAAATGGCAAAGATCAAGGACAAGGACAGAGTTTTAAAGGCAGCCAGAGAGAGGAAAAAAGTCACCTACAAAGGAAAACCCATCAGGCTATCATCAGACTTCTCAAGAGAAACCTTACAGGCCAGAAGAGAATGGCACGATACATTCAATGCAATGAAACAGAAGGGCCTTGAACCAAGGATACTGTATCCAGCACGATTATCATTTAAATATGAAAGAGGGATTAAACAATTCCCAGACAAGCAAAAGTTGAGGGAATTTGCCTCCCACAAACCACCTCTACAGGGTATTTTAGAGGGACTGCTCTAGATGGGATCACTCCTAAGACTAAATAGATGTCACCAGAGAAAATAAAATCACAGCAAAGAAAGCAGACCAACAAAATACTAACTAAAGGCAAAAAATAAAATCAACTACCCACAAAAGCAGTTAAAAGAAGCATGAAAGAGCACAGAATAAAACAACCAACATATAAAGAATGAAGGAGAAGGAATAAGAAGGGAGAAAAATAAAGAATCACCAGACAGTGTTTAAAATAGCTCAATAAGTGAGTGAAGTTAGACAGTAAGATACTAAAAAAGCTAACCTTGAACCTTTGGCAACCATGAATCTAAAGCCTGCAATGGCAATAAGTACATATCTTTCAATAATCACCCTAAATGTAAATGGATTGAATGCACCAATCAAAAGACACAGAATAATAGAATGGATAAAAAAGCAAGACCCATCTCTGTGCTGCTTACAAGAGACTCACCTCAAACCCAAAGACTATAGGAACAAAGAAAGACTGAAGGAACAAAACAGCAGCAAAATCACAGAACCTAAGAAAGGAGT